CTGTGAAACCATTATCACAATCCTTTTCTCAATTATTCTACCATTAACCAAAACTCAGTGCTCTCTAAGTAGTAACTTCCCCAATCCTTCTCCCTACAACTAGTAGCCACTGATCGGCTTTGGTCGCTACACATTTGTCTATTTTATGTAAGTGGCTACAGTCTATACATATATAATATGTGTCTTTATTTCACTCAGCACCGTGTTTCATCGCAGTTTACATAGTTCAGGACTTCATCTCCCTTTGTGCAGTAGTCCCTCGGATGCCTGTACCACCGTTATTTAGCCAGTCTTCTGTGTGCACATTCAGGTTGTGCACACCTTCCCGCTGTTGTGGATGGTGCTGATGCTTTTTGGTTGTTGTCAGGTTTCTGTTTGAATTCCTGATTTCCATTCTTTTGAGGAAATATCTGTGGCCCAACTGGGCCTTTTAGTATCGTTCATGATGTTGATTCTCTCCAAACCATGGAATCTTACAGAATTGTCCCATTTTCATAAAAGCTTGATTTGTGGAAATGATAGTGTCATCTTGGATTTCTTGATGAGCTCAGGGTTGCGTGAGGTGAACTTTTTCCCCTTTCCACTTCCTCTCCACTGTTCGCCAGGGTGCTGTAGCACCCTGATGCTTCTGATTTGATTTCGTGGATGGGGAGGGAGGTTAGCTGTGCACAGGGACTTGGCCCCAGTGTTTTTGTCTCTGCTTCCAGCACCCGGCGTCAGTGTCACGACAGGAAAATGGGAGTAGAAAAACATTCACTGGCCTTTGAGCCGGGGAACCAGGGACTGCACAGGCAATTCCTCACGCTCTACTTCTGTGGCCTTGCATGAAATGAATGTCTCAACCTTGGTAAAAGACAGCATGGCCTGAAGCCATATCACCACTACACAGATGTAAGATGGAATTCTTGCCTTTTTATGATTGTTAATAATCAGTCATCAGACAGCATGCTTATGCAAATAACACCGATTTTTTTCATTGTTATTTTCTTGAGGTGAAATTCGCTTATCATATGGAGATTTTAAACATAAAAACAACAACTCCAGATTCACATCTTAAATACTGCTCCTTCTTGCACATGTCACCTCACCTCTTCTGTGTCTGTTTCCTGCTGTTGAAAGGAAGGATGACAATAAGAATATTTATCTCGCAAGTACTTTTAGAAGACTTCTGTAGGTGTGTTGTAAGAAATACATTTAATACCCAAGTCTGGCTTTGAGTACGAATTCAGTAAGTGTCTGTTTAACATTGACAACACATGTCAAATAGACAATTGACTGAAAGATTCCTGTCTTCCAGAAACAGTGTCCCAAATTCCTAAGTACTGAGGCATGGGACTTGAGTCGGATCTCTGGCGTCCCTTGTGCTATAGTGCTTCAGCAAGTGGAATGCTTCTGCCATGCAGATGATCCGGTGCTGGGGTGATGAAGAGATACAAATCGATTGACATCCAGTCCAGGTTATGCCGTAGCCTCCGTCCCAATGGGTGCTACCACGGCGGCCTTGTAATACATATGGTACTCTCTGATGCCCAGACGGCAGGAGGCATTCCGAGAGAATGGAGATGGCAGGGTGAATGCCACGTACTGAGCAGCATGTGTAGGACACAGAGTAGTGAACCCCGGAGAGCTACAAAAATAGCTTACTGTGATTGAATTTCTTCTCTTTATTTTTTTAATGTTTTTTTTTCTTCTTCCCCTTTTAGACAGAGCACATGCCTTTAAAAAAGTTCTAATTGCATGTTTGCTTAGTGGTGTGTAATTATATATCAAGTAAATATGTAATTATGGAGTGCTTTAAATTAATATTATTTACTTGATTGATTTAATGATTCTGGTGCTATTAGTCTATTGTGCTGAGGACAGTTTAGCCAACTTTTCGCTGAGGATCATTAAGCAAATTTACATTGGCATGTGGAGAATTGCAAACAGATGACAAAATAATAATTTATAAATTATCGAGGGTTCATGAGGGAGGGAGGGAGGGGGAGCGGAGAGGGAGGGGAAAAATGAGGAGCTGATGCCAGGGGCTTAAGTGGAGAGCAAATGTTTTGAGAATGATGAGGGCAATGAATGTACAAACGTGCTTGACACAATGGATGGATGGATGGATTGTGATAAGAGTTGTACGAGCCCCTAATAAAATGATTTTTTTTAAGTTAGTTAAAAAGTTATTGATTGGGAAAACAAATTTCTTAGACTTTCATACTCTTGTCACCAAAAAACAACACTGACATTGATCCCCTGTAACTTGCTCAGGACAGTGTGCATATTGACAAAATGTATCAGAAAGAAAGACGTACCCTGTTGAGCACATGTGACCCACGAACATCGGGCCCTGGTGCAGAAACGAATATGCCACCCTCTTGCTCCTCGTGAAACACAGTGTCCAGAGGGGAGAGAAGGAAGCTCGTGGATATTGTTTCTGTGTGCTTTCTGGCCTGAGGGGCTCGTCTTCTGGCAGTCTCCCCGACAACGTTCTGCTGCTGTTCATGAGAGGTTCTGTTTCAGACAAGGCTCCACTCCTCCCCACACGGTTTTCGGTGGCCAGTTCCATAGAAGTGGACAGCCTATTCCTTCTTCACACTCTGCTCTTAGCCTGGAAGTTTGGCTAAAACCTATTCGCTTTGGGTGACCCTGCTGCTATTGGAAATACCAGTCACATAGTGTGGTAGTGGCATCATCTGGTGTCAGTTTGGGGCTTGAGAGGATTAAGAGTGAAGGGGTGGGGTCTAGTCTGTCAATCAGATCATAGTCAAGGAGGCCTCTGTGTAGGCCTGGCCTTCTCCTGGGAATTCTGGGAAATCCGCTATTTCCTCCTCGGAGGCGAGAGACACCTCTCTCTCCCTGCTCACTCCCTGGGAGACATTGCAGCTGGCAAAACACATGGAACTACACTAGTGCCCTGAGCTGGAAAAGCCACATGAACCTACCCCGATACAGCCCTGGGTGCTGGAGAACCCATGTGGAGACCCCTGCCAGCACTGATATGCGTACAACACTACTGACCCAGAAGACTTCCATCCCATTGGCCTGTGATCTTCCTGCATTCAGCATCATTGCATGTGTTTCATGAATCAAAAGAGGACTTCATAGATTGGTATCAGACATATGGGCGAATATCGGACTTATGGGCTTGGACTGGACTGGGTTGGGATGCTTTCTTCATGTACAATTACCCTTTATATAAAACGCTTATACACACGAGTGTCTATTAATTTGTTTCTTTGGTCTACCCGGACTAACACACATAGCTTCCAGCATCACAGCAATACCCAAGGACCATCACAGTTCTACAAACTGACAGACAAGTGGGGGGTAGAGATAAGGAGTTAATCAGAATACAAATGGAAAGTAAAGATAGCATTTAGTATGTTTGCATTGTGCCACTTAAACCTCACAACAATCACATAATGCTGATTTGCGCTTTGCACACAGAAACGTGAGGCTCTGAGCAGTTAATAGCTAACTTAAGGTTAGTCAGAAAATCTGTGAGAGAACTAAAGCAAAAACCCTGCATGTGGCTTAACCTTGTGATTATGGATAAAAGCATCAAATGATGTGAATGGACCAGTAAACCCACTGCCATTGCCATCTAGTCAGTTCCAAATCTTAGTGACCTGGGTACAAAGACAAGTAAGCCTTTCTGTCTGAGCAGCCTATGTAAACTGCCATTGTGCATCTTGTACCTCATGGCCATTGAGCTTGGACTTTTGTATCTCATGATTCCTTTACTTAGACTCCTAGCAGCTCCTAACTGGTCCCTCTGACTGAGTATCCAATCTCCGTCCTGGAGCTTGAGAGAGCTTTGGAAAATGCAGACCTGAGAGTTGCCCTCTTTCTTAAATGCTTCTCGGAGCTCCTTACAAGATGCAGTACCTTGTATGATATGCCCCTCAGTTGTTCACTCTTGCCATACTGGATTTCATTCATTTTTTCCCTAAGCATAGCCAACTCTAGTGATCCTGGCTTTGGTAGCCATTTAGTAATAATAACAAACCTAAAACCAAACCACTGCCATCCAATTGATGCTGACTCAGAATTAATAATAATAGTTAACATTTATTGAGAACTCTGTGTGCATAGCCCTTTTAGTTCGTTGTCATTGAGTACTTGAAATGTTGCTTGGTAAGTAGGTATAAATTGCTGTATTTTATGAAGAAACTCTTAGAAAAGGCATACCATTTTCTCAAGTCCAAACTTGTGTATATAGTTTTAGTTTAAATTAATTAATAACTCATCAACAAAGGCTCCTGCCTAGTACGTAGAAGCAGAGGATCATTTAAGCCCTGTGCTGCTGTCACACAGCGACAGGACCTGTGCTCGGAAGAGCTGGCTCGCACTGATCGGCAGTATATCTAGGGACAAAGCCCCCTCTGGGATTCAGTTATCTCATATTAACGCCTCTCACATCACTGTGCACATCAGAGCCAAGCAACACCCTTGAAACATGGTCCATACTCTGTAATATACTGCATGAGAAGTGTGTGAATTGAGTGGCTGTGGACGGCCCCCAGCCCCCATGGCAGGCCCGCCACTAAAGGAAGAAGAAACGAGAGCCCAGGCAAACCTGCATTAACTCTCTGTGCAGCATGTTTCTTGTTACCTCTAAAGCTGAGGTAGAATTAGAGCGAATGCAGGATTTATAAAATAATCCTATAATTAAATATCTTGTAGGCTGGTCAAAATATTTTATAGTTAATAGGAATTAAACTTTATGTAACCTTAGAGGATTTAAAAAATCCAGATGTGTACTCTACATGGTGCAGCTTAATTTAAAATACATTTTGAATATGTTTTCATACACTCACAGGAACAGAATCTTTTCATTAAATACTGGCTGTATGAAACATCTTTGTGTGACTGGACATTGCTCTCAGCTCTTCCTGCTTGTGTGAACTGAAGGTGCAGTGTCGGCTTCAGGAGGGCTTGTTTGGTGTGATACCTTCTTACGGAGAGGGAGTGGCATGGAGGATTCATTTCCTTTTGCTCTATTCCCTTAGGTCTCAGAATGCAGTTGGCCCATTAGGCAGGCCCCCAGTTTGCACAACCTCTTTGCTGTGTGTCGGAATATGTATAACTGGCTACTACAGAATCCCAAAAATGTCTGTGTCGTACACTGTTTGGTGAGTAATCTTTCTATTGGTGGTCGTTGGATGGTTTAATTTGGTCAGAGAAGCTAGCCTAAGGTGGGTGGGAGACATTTGAGTCCGATAATCATATCTTGAGCCCCTTAGGAGATAGATGATGTGAAGGATGTAAAAATGAAGGAAGAGTTTATATTAGGCCTTCACGTTGAATTACTAGTGGGAGAAGTAGATACGTACCTAGCTCACTAAGTATTATAAAAGTGCCAAATAGAAAATGTTTTGAAAATGATGATGGCAGCATATGTACAAGTGTGCTTGATAGAATTAATGTATGGATTGTTTTTAGAGCTGTAAGAGCCCCCAATAAAATGATTTATTAATTTAAAAAGTGTCAAATATCAAAGAGGTCAAAACAAGAGCTGTGGGCACACAGGTAAAGCAACAATTCCTCAAACTCTGTCTGCATACAATTGACATGACAATGTTGACATAGCCTGTAAACACACTATTTGTGTTTGAGCAAAAATGAAATAAAAAGACACGGTGCCCTCCAAGTGTACCAATGGATTAAGTGCACTGCACAGCAATTCCCAGGGAGACTGGTCCGTTGTTAACAAGTGACTTCCTGGATTTCCTTCCCCAACTACTCCTCTGGACCTTGTATCTGTCCTTCAGAACTCAGCCTTCACCTGAAAAAGAGCTAAGGATTCCTGTTGATTGAAAGATCAGTAAAAATGCATGGGGTCACTTAGCCTGAATTTGAGGTAGTTTGACTTAGGGTTCTGTTAATAGAAGCATAATGTTCAGTTGAGAGGAGGTGATACTCTCTCTGGTTATGTCAGAATACCTCTGACATGTTGCATGTCACACCTCGCTGCACACTGCGGTGGTTGTTTTAAAAATGCACACTTGGCTCGGAAGCACTCCAGTTGATGTCTGTTGGTATGAAATATCGAATGAGGGAGAATTGAGCCTTTGTTCTGATCAGAAGGGAGAAAGGATCATTGGGAGTAAGCTCTGGAGGGACAAACACAGCGTCCTCAGAATAAGGAGAAATGTGCAGTGGAACGGATAACTTCCAGTAGCTATAGGCAGCCTGTCACTTACAGTATTCTAGAAGAGACTGAATGACCACCTGTCAGGAATATTGCTGGATGTACTTGTATATTTGATGAAGGTGGAGTCAGGTGAAGCTTCTTCAAATGAACCCCTATGTACATGGTTGGGGAGAAATACATACATAGTATATCCTTTAAAAAGCAGCATTTACCTAACCTGTAAGCTTTTTACCTCTAGTCCTAAAACCAAAAAGCCTCAACTGATGAGTTCTGCTGCTCCAAGTTCAAAGTTACTTTGAAGATCGTAGTTCCAGAAATAACGTAAATAATGGGGAAAGAGCTTCCCAAAGGATACTATTTATATTGCTGGGTTTCTCTAGTTAGTAGAGAGTCCATTTGACCCTTAGAATGTCTTTACTTTCTGCTTTGTGATTTAAATTCTTATTTCCCAGTGAACTTAAAGCACCCTGGTTAAGCGATTTCTCAGATTCCTTTCCCTGCACCCCTACTTTTCATAGCTCGTGTACATAGTCTCAGTGGGCAGTAGCTAAGTGAATTGTGTTCCTAATGAGTTTGTGCATTTCTTTTGGCAGGATGGACGGGCGGCATCATCAATTTTGGTTGGCGCTATGTTCATTTTCTGTAATCTCTACTCTTCTCCTGGCCCAGCTGTTCGACTGCTGTATGCAAAGCGGCCAGGCATCGGACTGTCACCATCACACAGGAGGTAGAGTAAGCTAGATGCAGAGTTAGGCTCAAACATGGTCTAAATGGTATCATGTGCAGTTCACCTTCCTCCTCTTAATGTGCTGTCATGATGTGTTATTTTATTTTGTCATCTGCCACTATCCTGAACTATGGCAAGAACCTAATCAGATTAGGACATTTGATGCCACACAGCTAAGTGGCCCCCTTTTAGCACTGGCCATCTTCAAACAAGAGCCTTCAAAGAATACTGCTGTCCACCTCTTTCACTGTACAGATGAGGACACTGAGACCCAGGCAGGTTGCAACATTTTCTAGGTCTTACAATACCTCCTGGACATGATCTCAGATCACAGTCTCCCAAACCAGTCCTGTTCTGTTTCGCTTTGTCAGTATTTATGGGAATACAAGCAATCTCAGGCTATATTTAGGCACATAGTTACCAAAGAAGAGGGAAATGTAGAAGTATATAGGCAACAAGGAGTGTGAAAAATGCTTCTGTTGACATAGAAACAAGGAAATAGATTATAAAAGAAAATCTGACAGGTGGCTTTCAAAAGACACTATTTAAGCCCTGAGGGGTTTAAATAGAGATACCAGGAGGATAAGGGGAAGGTGGGCGGAAAAAAGGATCAACATATAAACTCCTCCCAGGGGGACAAACAACAGAAAAGTGGGTGAAGGGTGACAGAGGATGATGTAAGATATGAACATAATAATCTATTATCTATAACTTATCAAGGGTTCATGAGGGAGGGAGGGAGAAAATGAGCTGATACCAAGGGCTCAAGTAGAAAGAAAATGCTTTGAAAATGATGATGGCAACATATGTACAATTGTGCTTGACACAATGGGTAGATGTATGGATTATGATGAGATGTAAGAGCCCCCAAATAAAAGTATTTAATAATAATAAGAAAGACAAGGCCATTTTGGACAACTTTGATTTTCTTTCCTGTTAAATTACATCTTAGTTAAATTGTGTCGCCTTATTTCTCTGAATTAAAAGCACTTCTAAGATGCCAAATTTCCAAAATGTGTTCACAACCAGCTTTTAGCTGATAAATTTCATCCACCAACTCAAACAGGAATAGATAGTCAATCATTACGCTAGTCTAAAGCCCCCACAACCTCTTCATTTCATAAATACTCAGTTACCAATTCCATGGGAAAGTGCAGCAGTATCACCAGACAAAGGCCTTCCTAAATTATTGGTACATTTGCCAGTTAAATGTCTGAGAAATTAGCAGAGTAAATAATAATTTGAAAGAACAAACTTCATACTAAAGATTGGTCACTGGTTTTTCCTGGTGTATTAGACCCCCAAACAGACGGACAATCTTCTGTTTCAGATACCTGGGCTATATGTGTGACCTACTAGCGGACAAACCCTACCGCCCTCATTTCAAGCCTCTCACAATTAAGTCGATCACTGTCAGCCCAATCCCCTTTTTTAACAAACAGAGAAATGGATGCCGGCCTTACTGCGACGTATTGATCGGAGAAACCAAAATATACACAACCTGCACAGATTTTGAACGAATGAAGTAAGTCACGTGCTTTTCTTCATATCTCCTAGTGAACTGTCCAATTCTTTTATAAGATGGAGCATACATAGTCTCATGAGGAGTGCATGGTGAAAATCACTGGTACTAAAAAAATATATTCAACAACATCCAGCACAATATTGGAAATGTACAGCTAACCCAAAGGATGCTATGGTTACTTTTTAAGATGGAAACAAAGAATTGAGTCCAGTTTCACTTGTATATTTATGATCACTCAGTACATGAACGCCAAGATAGATAACCCTTCAGAAACAGTAACAGGAGTAATGGTTCCCTGGGGGTATGGGAAGAAGTGGGGGTGGTGGAGGTGGGAAATAGGGAACTGAGAGCATTGACGACTTTATAACCTCACTCAACGGGAATGAGCAATAGATTTGTATGTGAGTATATACATTGAATCGTGTAAGATATGGCAAAAAAAAACAACAAAACAAAACCAGTAGCAACCCTCAAAACTATTATGGGGGAGAAGGGTTCCTGGGGGGTAGGGGAGGGGAGGGAGGGGACAAAGGGGAGCTGATAACAAGGAGTTCAAGAAGAAAGAAAATGTTTTGAAACCGATTGTGGTAGCAATTGTACATTACTGCTTGATGTGATTGAACGATGGCATGTTATGATATCTCTAAGAGCTCCCAATAAAATGATTAATTAAAATTAAAAAAAAAAGAATCCAGTTTTCAAGAAGGGCGAGAATGAAGTATCATGAGGGCTGAGGCAATAGTGGGAGCCAGGGTGTTTATGAAAGATAGCTGTGATGGGATTTGGTAAGGATAATGGAAGGCCCAGAGATGAAGGAGGTTTCTAACTGGTGCAACAGGATTATATAACTTAAGAAGCCATTGAATTCAGAATAAAAGAGTAGGTACAACCCCACATTGGTAGAGGAATGGAGAAAAAAGGTTTGGAGAGGTGGTAACATAGAATGAAATTATTGGGGGGTTGGTTGAATTTGGGAATGGGTATCCAGGACTCTCAAGTTGCTGTTTTTATACTTACCTTAGTTGCATTTTTTTGTCTTCTCTCTGTCCTTTCCCTATAAACCGTAAATCAGGAAAAGATAAATATAGCAGGGCTGAATGCATTTAAAGCAAATGAGGATCTGTAAAGTAAAGTAAAATAAAACAAAACTTACTGTCATTGAGTCAATTCTGACTCCTGGCAACCCTGTAGGACAGAGTAGAATGTATGTTTTGGGGTTTTGGGACCTTAAATCTTTATAGGAGTGGACAGCCCCATGTTTCTCCTGTGGGGCAACTGGTGGGTTCAAACTGCTGACATTGTGATGAGCAGCTCAAGGCACAACCCTGATGCCAGGATGGACCAGTGAACTGTCAGACATTGCAGGTCAGATGGAGAGAGCTGCTGGCCTCAGACCAATGCCAGGCCATTTCTGAAACAGCGTTTCACTGAGTGGGGCCTGGCTGTACCCCTGGTCTTTTGCTCAAGATAGGGAGTGGTACTAGGTCCAGGTCTTTGCACCCAGAACACTTGACCAGAGCCACACAGGGGGCTAGGCCTGTGTGTATGTGTTGTGTGTGTGTGTGTGGGGGGGCTATGTGATGACACAAAGTGGGACTCTCCTAAATGTAGTTTCTTTGGTCTCTCTTTAAAGAGAATATCGTGTGCAAGATGGGAAAATCTTCATTCCTTTAAGCATCACTGTGCAAGGAGATGTGATTGTTTCCATGTATCATTTGAGGTCAACCATTGGGAGCCGGCTGCAGGCTAAGGTATGGCTGAAGGTTAAGGTATGATTCTTCCTGGGAAAGCACATCTGAGCCACTGGTGGCAGTTTTTCTGAATCCTTTCTTCAAACCACTCTGAGCTTCAGTGACCTGTGATGTTAGAACTAGAAAGATGCTCTCAAGGTTGCTTATCCCACCCCTCCTTTTATAGGTGAGGAAACTGAGGCTCTGAGAGGTTGTGCCTTGCTCAAAGCCTTGACCTAATGACCCTGGCAGTCTGGGCACTTCCAGCACCTGTGTTTTGAGAAGCATGCGCCTTCTCTTTCTGCAGGGTACATGTTCGTGGTGTCTAGTGTACTCACAGTGCCCTGAAACCATCTAACTCCTTAAGGTTTTCTTCACCTCAGAAGGAAGTCTCATGCTGATTAGCAGCCACCTCTGTCCCCATCCCTTAGAACCGCCAATCTGCTTTCTGTTCTATGCATTTTCCTCTTCTGGACATTTCCTAGAAATCGAATCATATCCCACAGGGTTTGGTGCCCGTTCTCTTTCACTTAGTGTAATATTTTGAAGCATCATCTTATGTTACAACATGAATCAGTACTTCATTTCTTTTTACTGCCAAATACAATCCGTTGTAGGGATGCACTCCCATTCACTACTCCAGCCATTGGTTAGGGTTGTTTCCACTTTTAGCTCTTGTGAATAATGCTGCGAGTTATTTTATTTTAAAATGTCAACTATTTACTGACCTCGTGCTCAGTGACGAGCAATGCCTGGGTGTTGACACAAAGGAACAATGAAGAAAATGTCCCTGCCTTGAAGGAATCAGTGGAGCGGGGAGACTCTCATACATGTACAAATCTGTAACGCCATGTGGGAGGTAGGTATGAGTTGCTCTCCACCACTTGTCTGTCCATTTTCCACCTGCCATGGCATGTGTGTTGCTGTGATGCTGGAAGTGACGTCACCAAATATTGCCACCTCCCAGTGGGCTCACCCAGAGCGGATAGGTTGCAACAGAGCCTCCAGACCAAGACAGATGAGGGAGAAAGACCTGCTTCTTGGAAACATCCCAGCGAAATCTTATGGGCACCAGCAGAAAAATGTCTGATCATCGTGCTAGAGGATGAGCTTCTTAGGTTGGAAGGTACAAATGGGGGAGAGCTGCTTCTTCAAAGTGTAGATAGTCTTAGGAAGTAGTTGGATTAAAGCTTCCAGAACCTTCGTGGGATGATAGGGGATAACCCCAAATGAAAAGGATGTTGTAAGCATCCATTAATAACCGGAACATGGAATGTGCAAAGTACGAATCTGAGAAAATTAGAAATGGCCCAACTGTAAGTGGAGTTCATGAAACTCAGTGCCCTAGACATTGGTGAGCCAAAATGCACTGGTTTGGACCAGTTTTAATAGGACAATTACATGGACTACTAGGCTGGAAATGGCAAATTTAAGAAGACTAGTATGGCATTCATAGTGGAAAAGAACATTTCGAGGTCTATCCTGAAATGCAGTGCTGTCAGGGATAGGATATTATTCATAGACCTAGAAGGAAGAACAGTTACTAGGCATTAGTTATTAGTCAGATTTATGCACCAACTACCAGTGCCAGCGATTAAGAAACTGAAGAGTTTTACCAAGTTTTTCAGTCTAAAATTGATCACACATGCAATCAAGATGCACTAGTAATTGTTAGTAATTGAAATGCAGACGTTAGAAACAAAAACTAAGGAGCAGTAGTTGAAAAATATGGTGTGTTACTCTGGGTAAACTAGGGAAACAAATCCACAGAAACTCATTTGTTAAAAAAGAAACTCATTTGTATAAGAGAGAATTTTATATAAAGGGTAAGTGTGCATTAAGAAAACATCCCAACCCAGTTCTGCCTAAGCCCACAAGTCCAACATTAGCCCATATGTCCCACACTGATCCACAAAGTCCTCCTCCATCTCACAAAACACACACAATGATGCCGAATGCAGGAGGAAAGCCGAATGAATCAGTGAACGTGTAAGCATCTCAGTGCTGGCAGGGGTCTCCACACAGCTGCTCCAGCACCCAGGGCTGCATCAGGGTAGGTCCATGTGGCTTCTTCTCAGGGATGTCTTGCAGGAAGTGAGCCTTGCCAGCTGAAGCAGGAAACTGGCTAAGGCAGCTGCACCCTGGTCCGACCATCAGAAAGCAAGAGACCTGAGAACTAGAAAGGCGAGGTGCATTGAGTCATTTATCTCTCTGCCCTTCAATTAATCCCACATGTGTTTATCAGCCAGGTTGGCACAACAAACCTTGACTATCTCATATGGCTTCAGTGATAGAAATGATACTAGAGAGCACATAATAGAGTTTTGTAAGGCCAGTGACCAACTCATTGTAAATATCTTTTCTTAGCAACATAAATAGTGCCTATATTTGAACCTTGCTAGATGGAATACACGAAAATCAAGTCCACCTCATTTAAGGAAAGAGATGAAGGAAAAGCTCAACATTAGGCACAACAAGGCCAGGGGCCAACTGTAGAATATACCAATAATTGTTCATATGCACATTGAAAGTGGAAAAAAAAATTAAAAATCTATAAGAGCCAAAGAACATCCATGTATATCCCACCTGAATTTAGAGGTCATCTCAAGAATAGATTTGACAGATTGGACACAAAGGAGAGAAGACCCCATGAACTGTGGGATGATATCAAGAGAATCATTCAGGAAAGAAGAAAACTGTCATTAAAAAAAGGAACAAAAGACCCAAATGGATGTCAGAAAAGACTCTAAAACTTGCTCTGGAATGTAGAGTATTTAAAGCAAATAGAGGAAATTATGAGGCAAAAAATCTTAAAAGATTCCAAAGGGCAACTTGTGAAGACAAGATTAAAAAATTATGAAATGTGCAAAGACCTAAAGTTAGAAATTTCAAAAGGAATAACACCCTTTGCATTTCTCAGGCTGAAAGACCTGAGAAAAATTCAGTCCTCAAGTTGCAATATTTAAAGATTGTCTGGGCAAGATATTGACCGGTGCAGGAAACGTCTGGTGAAGATGGAAGGAATAAGGGAGTCATCAAATGAAAGCCAGTTGGTTGACATCAAGCATTTCAGGAGATAGGGTATGATTTTTTAAGTGTTGGTATTTAAGGAAGAAATCCAAACTAACGTGAGGGCATTGTGCAAAGCAAATGGATAGAATACCAGGCATTGACGGAATACCAGTTGAGACTACAAGAGGATGAAATGCCCACAGCACTCTTATGTCCATGCCAAGTAATTAGGAAGACCGCTACCTTGCCAATGACCACCAGACCCATGCTAAAGAAAAATGATCCAACAGAACACAAAGATTACCAAGCGATGGCATTACGGTCACACGGAAGTAAAATTTTGCTGAAGAAAGCTCGTTGCAGCAGTCCATCAACAGGGAACCTCCGGAAACTCCAGCTAACCTCAGAAGAAGATGTTGAATGAGGGCTATCATTGTTGATGTCAATTGGATCTGGCCTGAAAAGCACATCGTGCCATAGAATCGCTGGTCTTGTTAACTACACAAAGATATTTGGCTGGATGGATCATAGAAAACTGTGGACAACATTGCAAAGAATGGGATTTCTGAGCACGTCATTGTGCTCATCCAGAACCTGTATTTAGATCAAGAAGAGGCAGCTGTTCAAACAGAACAAGGGGTTACTGCATTGTTTAAAATCAGAAAGGTGTGTGTGTGTCAGGGATGTGTCCTTTCAGCATGCTTACTCAATTTGTATGCTGTGCAGATAATCCTAGCAGCGGGGCTGCATGAAGAAGCATGAGGCTTCAGGGTTCGGGGAAGCCGCATTAACAACTGTGATCTGCAGGCGATAGAGCCTTGCTGTATTGAGATTGCAGGAACATGGAATACGTTCTTGATGAAGATCAGATCTCCAGGCTTCAATATGGATTACAGCTCACCATAAAGAGAACACAAGTCCTCACATTTGGACCAACAAGCCATATCATGATCCATGAAAAAACGTTTGAGCTTGTCTAGGATTTCATGCTACCCGAGTTCACAATCAGCACCCATGGCAGCAGCAGTCAGGAAATCACCATTGTGTTACATCGGGCACGTCTGCTGCAAAATAGCTTATAAAATGTTAGAAAAACAAAAAATGTGAACTGCCAGGGAATGCTCCAGAGAAGGCCACATCTGGATTGACTATTGGTGACTCGGGCAGGACTCATCATAGCTTATCTCCACCACCTTTTGCATCTCTGGGTAGATAAGCCAACGCTTCATAAAACACAACAATTGGACACAGAGTTGTGTTTAAGGAAGATATTTCCATGTACAGCCAATCACCACAATGACTCATTGATCTGGATTCAAAAGAGTCTATTGAAATAAAAACCCCACAGACCAGATGGAATCCTAACTGTACCCATAATGTAGTAAATATATACAACAACAACAAAAAAAACACCCAAAAATGTCACGTTGAGCTCTGAGGTGCACTTGACCTAAGCCACAGTGTTCTCAGTTTTACTCTCATACTCAGAGGAAAGCTAGACAGTGAACAAGGAAGATCTGAGAAGAATTGATACCTTTGGATGAAAGAATATGGAATAGGTTTCATGAACTCTCAGAAGAAGGAACGAGTCTGTCTTGGAGGAACTACTGCTAGAATGTTCTTCAGAAGTGAGGATGGGGAGGCTTTGTCTGAGGTACTGAGGACACGTTATCAGGAGGGCCAGCCCTTGGAGGAGGACCTCGTGTTCGGAAAAACGGAGAGTCGTGGGAAAAAGGAAGGTAAGCCACCATGTGGACTGACACAGTGGCTGCAACAGTGGCTCAGATCAGGCAGAACTGAGGGTGACACAGGCCCGGCAGTGTTTGCTTCGGTCCATGAGCCAGAATTAGCTCAGTGGCATCCTAACAAGGACAACAACAAGTGGCACTATAATTGGAGCAGTTTCCTTTAGCCAGTGTTGCTTCTGCACCAGACGTTAACCCGGGGTTGCTATTACAGTTACGTCCCTGAAAGGCTAGAAAAAGTCTATGATCTTTCAGTATGGTGGATGCATTCGCCAGGTGGCGGTGGGCCCTCTTGGGGAGAGAAGGAATCTTATGAGTCCAAGTATGGCATTTTCAAGTGAGGAAATGGAGAGTCAGAGTTCATGGAGAGCAGAGGCTAGTCATGAATCTGAGCCAGTTTAAGAAGAGATCACCTGATATTCATAGTAAACAAAGATTCTGATGCAGAAACAGGTGAAGGTGAATGGCTCTCCAAGATAGACACTTTGGCTCACACTCTCTTCACTGATTGTTTGCATTGATTGTGCTTTTCTCATGTATTCTTTAGGTGACGAACACACAGATATTCCAGCTTCAGTTTCATACGGGATTCATACCACTGGACACAACAGTTTTAAAGTTTACTAAGTAAGTACAGCTGAAAGCCCTTCAATCAGTGCGGATATGAAATGCTGGGAGCTCTTTAAACCTGTGCTGTGTCCTCTCCCATAAGCCTGTGCTTCTGGGCCATTGAGGATAGCCTCCAGCGCTTTCAGGCTGGTGGCATTGTCATTCCGTCAGTAAAATATCTGATAAATCAAGTTCATAAAGAAGGGCCCAGAATTGGATATGAGCAACAAATATTAAAACATTGATAGTTTGCATCTGTCTATCTCTTTATGCTTTTCAGCCAAGATGGCCATCAAATTGTTATATGAGAAAAGACCCATCACAATGGACACCAAGTTTTAGTATTGACCGAGGGCCCTTATGCACCAGACATGAGCTCTGAGTTGCTACTTGCTAGTGAGATCTGGGGGATTCAGTGGGGTGGCTCAGGTGATTGTGGGAGTTGCAAGGCAAGAGTTGGGATAGGCATTCGAAGGCACAAGACAGTGACTGTGGTTTTAATCAACTCAGCTCACAGCCACGGATTCCATGAGGACTCTTAGGGACCCTGTAGAACAGAGTTCAACTGCCCCTTTGGGTTTCTGAGACTGTAAATCTTTACGGAAACAGAATGCTTCATTTTTCTCCCATGGAGCATCTGCTCAGTTTGAACGGTTGATCTTATGGTTAACAGTCCAACACAAACCTACTACACCACCAGGGCTCCTTATGGTCTTACTACTCAATACCATCTTAGCTACTGTTTTCATCATACCAGTGTATACAAGCTGCATGCCTTCCAGAATACATTCACATGCAGCAGCCCCCAGATCCTTTGAGTGAGCAGTATTTTACCACCTTTTGTGAAGGAGATGATGAAACTGAAGCTCAAAAAAAAGGAAAGTGACTCATTTGGTTATTGACTAAGCCAAAAGTTAGTCTGAGCATCAATGCAAGATGGTCCCTGTGTTGAGAGCCATACTCATGCTGTGGCTTTCCTCTGCTCGTCTCCTTTTAAATCCCTACCCAGGCCTGAGTTGGATGCCTGTGATGTGCCAGAAAAATACCCTCAGCTGTTTCAGGTGACACTTGATATAGAACTACAGCCCCAGGACAAGGCGGTAGATCTGACTCCGCCCTGGGAGCATTACTGCACGAAAGATGTCAATCCCAGCATCCTTTTCTCTTCTCATCAGGAGCATCAGGACACTCTGCTCTTAGGAGGTAGGTGTCCCTGCTGGTTTTGCTCTTCATGCTGAGGCCTCTGTGTTACTTGCCACACTGACTTCTTTCTTGTGTCTCAGTGGGGCTGCATGGTCTTTTGTCTTGCAGGGCAGGCTCCAGTGGACATCCCACCGGACAACCCCCGGCATGTTGGCCAAAGTGGCTTCTTTTCTTCTCTCTGCTGGCAAGGTACCTGGTTCTCACACAAAATTCCCTCATAGAAAATAGCACTCCAGAACTGCCCAGTGTCCCCCTTAGTTCACACTGTCCTCGCCCAACCCTTCTTCAAACCAGGAGACTTCTCCCTTCCTTTTGTCAAATTTTTTAATATTTAGCTATTTTGATTGTGGCAATTAAGGAACATATGCAATGAAAAGTAGAATTATTATGTTGTAAGTTTCAGAGAGACTTTCGCCGGCCATCTTAAAGACAAAAAAGCTTTATGTTGTCTCCATGGGATTTCTTTCTCTGGATTTTCCATGAAGAAATAAATAAGCATTAAGTTCCCACAGTACACACAGTCCATATGCATCAGCAGTGTATATGTATGAATCCTAGGACAGGTCAACAAAGACGGCTTTTTCGGACTGTTCTTGCATTCACAAGTATATTGTGGTGAGAATCTGACAACCCGGCATTCACCAATTCAGCCCTTACAGGTGCAATTCAGTGACATTGATTACATTAATCAGGTGTACAACCATGACCAGTATCCATTGCCTAATTTTCCACCCCCACAAACAGATGCTTGTACTTTCTAAACAATGAGTACTCCTTCCCCCTCCCTACCTCCCTTAGTAACCAGTAATGAACTCTGGTCTTAATGCGTTTCTTTATTCTAGATCTCTCGGGATCATGCAATATTTATCCTTGTGTGGTGACTGGATCTCACGTGCCACCGTGCTTTCGTGCATTCGGTAGCGCCAGGACTCCATTTCCCCTATTGCTTATAGGCCGTGGTATCCATCTGCCACGTTGTGTTTATCAGCCGTATGTGATGGACCTCTGGGCCGTTTCCACCTTTGTGAATGGAGTTGCAATAATGATGGCTACAGATTCCTCCCTTTCAACTTTCTGGGAACTTCTACTCTAGTACAAAATTCTACTCTCCCCAGAATTAGAATTCTCTCTGTGTGCTATGTTTGAATCACATATTTCCTATACAGATGCCCAATCTTTTTCCAGAACTCTAAGAGTCATAATTATTTAGGAATGGATTATATTTGTGTGTGTTTTAAAATGGTGACGTGGTCCATAAGCTCTGTATTCCTTGACATCCCCAGAGGCGTCTCAGACAATACGCGGTAATCAAACACATTCAGTTTCTTCAATGAGATATATACACACCAACCCTGAATGAGATACGTGAAGACAATCAATACTGTCACATCAGTGCTGGTTTATCTGCCAAATGAGCTTGGGCCCCAACTGGGAAAACCTTTTCCCTATTCACTGCTTTTTTGCCTTCAGAATTGGGACCGAGGGGGGTGCGTATCTGTATTTGGTTTGAAATTGGGCCTCTTTATCCGACATTAAAACAAGATAACACGGCCTCACAGGGAGATCTGTCTCAATGAACCAGCCAAGACCCGCGCCAGCCTCCCCACTTCTTCCCCAGACAAGCCTCTGTCCCCTGCCCATTTTTTGTTGAAAGTATCTCCTTTCAAGTCAGTGTAAGTCCCTTTCTTTGCAGAACCATTCTCCCGGTTCACTCCTTAGGTGTGGGGTCCTCACCTGCTCGAGAGTGGGGGAGCAAGGCCTTGCTTGCAGCTGGGGAAGGAAGAGACAGTCAGAGCTATCTGCCAAGGACTAGGAAAGGGTGCTTTAGTAACACCCTCTCAGAGCACCTAACTTAGTGCCTGGGAAAGACTAGTCATTGTAATGACTCTTTAAGTACCATTTGTCCGAGCATGTTTCTTATATCGCCTCACATAATTCCCACAACAGTTCAGCCCTGTGAGCCCAGAACACCCCAAATTCACTGCCAGTGAGTCCATTCTGACTCATGGCGAGCCTGCAGGACTGGGTCGAACTGTACCCGGGTGTTTCTACATGGTCACTCTGTAGAAAGCTTGATTATCCCCATTTCCCTGAGGAGGACATAAAGGACAACAAGTAAAGTGCCATATCAGGGGCACACAATCATAAACAGCAAAGCTGGCATTCCAACCCAGGACACCTGGCTCCAGAGAACCACTCTCCATTCACTGTTATGCAGCGCTACCTGTTAGCTAGCTTGTGCGCTCCACAAAGGTGAATGTCATCGTGCCGGGCAGGGAAAGTGGACGTTCATCCATCCATCCCTCCAATGGCAAGGGCCAGAAAGCCTTTTGGGGAAACCTGTCTCTGACTAAAGTGATGTGCATCTAACATACCAAAAACTGTCACTACTGTGGTCACTAACTAACCGTGTGTTGGCATATCGGCCTTCTTTAGACCAGAAATCAGAGAAGTCGCTCTGCGAGGAGGACCACGCTGCCCTCGTGAATCAGGAGAGTGAGCAGTCCGACGATGAACTTCTGACCTTGGCGAGCCCACACGGCAAGGCCAATGGTGACAGACACCATGGTGCCAAGAAGCCCAGCAGAAAGCAGCAGGAGCCAGCTGCGCCCCCACCGCCTGAGGACGTGGACCTTCTGGGCCTAGAAGGGTCAGCAGTGAGTAAGACCTTCTCTCCGCCAGCGGCTCCTCCCACCAACTCTGAGCTGCTGAGTGACCTGTTTGGTGCGGCTGGCCCTGCCCAGGCTGCCCAGGCAGGGGTGGACGACATGTTTCATCCTGGCAGACCCACGTCCACCCAGTCAACACCACGCCGATCTGCCACCTCCACCTCCGCGTCGCCCACCCTGAGAGTGGGAGAAGGTAAGGGCTTCCGGGGAGCTCTGTGCTTCTTGGTGTGGACTCTGGGCGCTGGGGCCAGGCAGGGAATTCAACTTCCCTAAGCTAGACTGTTCCAGTTTCCCCCAAAAGGTAAACATCTTCATTTGGATGGTTAACAAGAGCAAATAGGCATGTTGTCGATTTTGGAAGGACAGTGTTACAGTCATGAGAATTTAAGCTCCTTACCCTTTTTGTTTCTTTTAAGACATCAGTCCCTGAGCTGCTTTAGTTATTTCTGCTTGGAAGTGCAGAAAGAGGAGTTATTATTAACAATAACCATAAACCTTTACAAGGTACTTAACTCCACTGCCATCGAGTTGGTTCCCACTCCGAGTGACCCCGTATAGGGTTCCAAGGCTGTAAAGCCTCAGCTTTCTCCTCTGGAGTGGCTGCTGAGCTTGAACTGCTGGCCTAGTGGTTAGCAGGCCGATGATTACCCAACAGTGCTACCGGGGCTCCTTATGAAGTAGTTACAGCTTACCAAATAATCTAACACTGAGAATGGATTGAATTCTTCTGAAAGCCCCCCATCTAGGTGCTATTATTTTTCCCCAGGAGAAGGATGAGGCTTTCTCCTCCCTTAAAGATCAACAGTCTCAGAAACGCCGAGAAGCTGTTCTGCGCTTGAGGTCACTGTGAGTTAGAACTGACTCGATGCTAGGAGGTTGGGCTTTCGGTTTTATCACCTCTGTGTAATCATTGAGGAAATGGAGGCTTAGAATGAAATTAGTCATATCAATGTATAGCTCTAGTGGCTTAGTTATTTAATTTGGCAGTGACAAAAATACCAAAATGTATGACTTTCAGGAACAGCGACTTATTTTCTCATGGTTCTGCGGGTCAAAATCCCAAACCAAGGTGTCAACCATGTTGGCTCCTTGTATGAGCCTTTCTCCTAGTTTCTGATCTTTGTGCCAGTGGCTTTTGATATTCTTTTCTTGTAGATGAGGAACCCTGGTGGCTTAGTGGTTACATGACAGGCTGTGAGCCACAAGGTCAGTGGTTTGAAACCACTACTGCTGCTCCACGGGAGAAAGATGAGGCTTTGTCCTCCATACAGAGTTGGAGCAGCGGTTCTCCACCTTTCACAGGGGTCGCCTAATACAGATATTGTCATTACGATTCATAACAGTAGCAAAATGACAGATATGAAGTAGCAACGAAAATAATGTTATGTTTGGCGGGGTCACCACAACATGAGGAACTGTATTAAAGGGCCATGGCATTAGGAAGGCTGAGAACTACTGAGTTAGAGGAAACCCACAGGGGCAGTTCTGCCTGTCCTATGGGGTGGCTGTGAGTCAGAATGGAAATGGGCTGGATGGCAGAGAGTTGGTCAGCCTGCCTCACGTGGCACCTGCCCTCCCGTCTATGTCTGTGTGTGTGTGTGTGTGTGTGTGTGTGTGTTCTGTTACTTTTGTAACTCATGGAGGAGGTTTTGACCCACCCTACTCAGTATTAACTAATGTGCTTAATATGGAGAACCCTATTTTACACAAGATCAAACCTACAGGTGAGTTTAGGATGGCAACACATTTTGAGGAGATACAATTCCGCCCATAACAGTTAGTAATTAATGGGACCAGCGTTGATAACTAGGCCGTTTGACTCCAAATCTTCCTTCAGTTTTCCTGAAATATTAGTCTTCTGAATACATTTGGCTGCACAGAATGATTGTGACAAACCAACACTACTGGCTCTCCAAAATCAATAAAAAGCTGTGTTAGGAAAGAAATCCCCCAAATCCAAGATTGCATGGTTATACTTAACAACTGTGGACCTTGTATGATTCCTGAGAGGCCCGTATACCTGGTTTTGTTTCCATGTCAGAGCAAGAATGGTCTTAAACATCAGTTAATCCTGTGCCTTAATTATAGACAGGGAAATAGAGGCCTAGATATAGTGGTTCATTGTCTGAAGACAGAGTTATTATGGTTGACTCAGGCCTAGAACTCAAGTAGTTTTACTCCCAAGAGTAGAAAGAGCACTAGGTAGATTCAAAGGCCTGGGTTTGAACCCCAGGGCCAAATTTTAGCTGTTTAATCTTATTTGAAAATGGCAAGCTCTTCTAGCTATAAAATGGAAGTAATGCATACCCATTAGTATGATTTTGGAGACAGTTTTACGCTTTTCTCTTGCGTTATTGGGCAGTTGACTTTTAGTGTATTGTAAAATGGCCCCAATGTAACATAACCCATTGCCATTGAGTGGAATTGTGTTTGATTGAGTTTTCATGGTCTGATTTATCAGCCATAGATTGCCAGGCTTTTCTTCTGATGCACCTCTGTCTGGCCTCGAATCATCAACCTTTCTTGAACTGCCAAGAACTGCCCTGGGTGTTTGTATCACCCAGGGACAAATGAACATAAGCTAGTATTAAAAGTGTACAAAGTAATGGTGAGAAGACATCAGTGTCTTTCGCTGATTGGCTTTGGGGACTCAAAACTAGCTGTGGAAGTGTTGATGCAATGTTGGGTCACAATTCCTATAAAAATCTCAGTAATGCCATTTATTGAAGGGTTAAGATTTTGTGAGTGTAAAATAACGTAAGGGATAAAAATTGTGTAGTTAAGTGTCTGAAACCCACTTGATCCTACACAAGACCTCAATGCTGATAATAAACTCACTGCCATTGAGTCAATTCTGACTCATAGTGACCCGGTAGCATAGGGTAGAACTGCCCCTGTGGGTTTCCAAGCCTGTAATGCTTTGCAGGAGGAGAGAGACCCCTCTTGCTCTCATGGAGGGACTGAATTGTTTTGAACTGCTAACCAACACTTAACCACTACGCCACCAGGGCTCCTTCTGCAGATAATTAACAGAGCATGGATTCAGTGATTGATGGCTGCAAACATGTTAGGTCATTTATCCAACCCAGAGTTTAATAGTTGGATTTATTCACTAACTTGTTTGATTCTAGTTGTCTATTCCAAATATATGCATAAGGCCGCTGTAGGTCGGAACCAATTCGATGGCACCTTACAACAACAACAACAACAACCACCCCTAGGATGACTCAGTCTAACTTCAGGAGGCTGTCAGCCCGTTCACCTGAGTTTCGTCTTGCTACAGGTTGCTGAAGGGAGTTGTGTGCCTGTCCCAGTAAAACTAACCACATTCACGACCGTCGAGGCCATTCCGACTCCTAGCAACCTTCTAGGGCAGAGTAGACGTGCCCCCGTGGGTTTGCGAGTCCACATCATGATGGGGAGAAAGTCCCATCTGTCTCGCTCAGAGCGCTGGTCTTTTCCTGCTAACCTCGTGGTTTGCAGCCTAAAGCGTATGAGGGATTAAAGACAGGCTACATCCATGCTGCTGGGCCTGTTTCCTTCACGTTGAGTTTATACATGGCAGGAGTAGGAGATGCTCTTAGGAAATGTCCTGGAGTTTGGAGTCAGAGGGCCTGATCATGAATTCCAGACTATGATTCCCTGGCCCTTGGCAGGAAACCTATCCTTTCCCGGTTTCAATTTCATCATCTGCAAAGACACTTTGTCTCATGAGGGGTGGTGAGGATCTATGGAGGCAGTCTTTACAAGAGAAGGCATAGACCCTTGAAAAGAGACGGCATAGACCCTTGAAAAGACACAATAGGAGCTGCTGTGCGTTGCTGCGGGTAACCTAGACTTCCCACTTTGCTCTTGTATTATTGCCTAAATCCTATATTCTCTCTCACCTACTTTCTAACAAGTAGTTAGAAACAGGGCTGTGTGCTGTAGAACAGGAGGCCTAATGAGAATCCAGTTTTTGTCGCTACACTTATTTCATTTTCATTCAGCTTTCCAGTGAGCCAGAGCCAACCAAACCTGGTCAACCAAACTAAACCAACCAAACCTGGCCCCTGTGGTTTCCCACTGTTCGTCTTAGTACGAGAGCCCCACAGCCTGGCTTCTGCCTACCGGTTCAGTCAACAAGCTTGTTTCAACCATGGCTCTTAAGCATGGCTTAAGGGTGCAGTCCTACACCCTTCTGTCAGTCTGTCAGTCTGTCATACTGTGGTGGCATGTGTTTCAATGATGTTGCAAGCTGTGCTGCTGGCATTTCAAATACCAGCAAGGTCAGGAGTAGGAGATGCTTTTAGACAATGTCCTGGAATTTGGAGTCAGAGGACCTGATCCTCTCGACTACTCTGGAAGCTTGACTTAGCCTGTTTCATGCCATTACAATGGCCTAAGGCCAAATTTTCACTGCAGTTGAGTTGATTTATAGGGTTGCTATGAAAGGCCAAAGAGACTCTTATTTATACAGTCTTGGGTTTATGTAACAGGTAAATCCAGGCCCCTCTATTGTCTACGAAGATGAGCGAGTTCCTGGGTGGCATCCATTCTTAGGAAGTTTTATGGGTTGGGGCTCTTTGGTTCTGTTGAGCATCCAGGGAGGCAGGCTTCATCATGATGCTTCAGGTGACTCGCCTAGGGCCTGACAGGAGTGGCAAGTCTTTGGTCTGTATCAGATGAATGAACTAGAGTCGAAAAGAATAGTTTCCCTTTGTTTCCTAGGTGCCACCTTTGACCCATTTGGAGCACCTTCGAAGCCACCAGGTCAAGATTTGCTGGGTTCTTTTCTGAACGCGTCCAGTGCATCCAGCGACCCCTTTCTCCAGCCTACGAGAAGCCCCTCGCCCACAGTGCATGGTGAGGGAGGGTTTTTTTTTAAAAAAAATCATTTTATTGGGGGCTCGTACAACTCATCACAATACATACATGCCTCCATTGTGTCAAGCACATTTGTACATTTGTTGCCATCATCATTCTCAAAACATTTTCTTTCTATACTGTGTTCATGTCTTTAAGTATCAGTAGGATAAAAAAATATCCCATGAGTGCTTTTGGAGGAGAAAGTTGCATACTGCCTCTCTCTTCTGAGATTGACAGTTCCTGTTAAAGGCTGTTTTGTCCATGGGATTTTTATTGGCTTGTTTTCAGAAGTAGATCTCCAGACATTTCTTCTCAGTTTGTCTGAGTCTGGAAGCTCTGCTGAAACCTGGCACCAGTGTTGGCCTTGCTGGTATTTGAAATGCCAGCGGCACAGCTTCCAACGTCATTGAAACACATGCCACCACAGTATGACAGACTGACAGAAGGGTGTGGGGCTGCACAGCGTTTCATTGTGACGCTTAAAGTCAGCAGAGGTTGTAGCCTACTCAACAGCAAAAACAAATGAGCAGCGCTTGTGACTGAAAGCAGAGACGAGAATGTCAGATGGATGGAAAGAGAACACCCCAGACCGGATAGGATGAGAATGTTCACACATGTGAGGAATGTGACCAGTGTCACTGGACAACTTGTGTGGAAATTGATGCATGTGTGTAAACCTCCACTGCAAACACAATAAAATACTCTGTTAAAGCATTAAACATAAAATCTCTGGGATGCCTTGCAGGACAGAAACCTGCATAATTTTGTTTCCCTTGGCTGTCTTAACATTTTTTGATAATGGGTATTTCTTTTATTTGTTTGACTGAGAGTTACATACTCCGCATCATGACATCGCATTTATTCTGTAATTACTTTAGGAGCCCTGGTAGTGGGGTGGGGTATGAGTCAGGCTGCTAGCCTCAAGGTCAGCAGTTTGAAACCACAGACCACACCACAGGAGATGAGGCTGTCTACTCCCATAAAGAGAGACAGTCTTCTAACCCTACCCTGTACCTGAGGGCCACTAGGGGTTGGAATCGACTTGATGGCAATGAGATTATTATTCTATATACCATATGAAAACACTGCCGCTTTTATTTATTGATTTTTTTAACACTGCGACTTTTAATTGGCTGGAAAATGCCTCTAATTGTAGAAGTCTTTGAAATGTGGAAAAACTATGTGTCTTAAAATTAATCAGGCACAAGACTAGCATTCCACAAAACTAGTAAATTCACAGAACACACTTGAATCTATCAGCCTTATGTTTTACAGCTGTTCTGTCCAGCCATTATCCACGATCCTCATGAGGCTGTAAAGTACTTGAAATGCAGCTGTTTGATTTGAGATATAATCTAAATATAAAATATGCACTAGATTTGAAAATGCAGTACAAAAAGAACATAATCTATTTACCACATCTTAAAATAATATTTCAAATATATTGGGTTAAATGTAATTAAAATTAATTTCACTTGTTTCTTTTGCATTCTTTAATGTAGCTACTAACAAAACAAACAACACACTCATTGCTACCAAGTTGACTTTGCTTCATAGTACCCCTCTACAGGATGTCCATCTTCAGGGACGCAGAGAGACACATCTTTCTACTAAGGAGTGGCTGGCGGGTTTGAGGTGCTGACCTTGTGATCAGAAGTCCAGTGCTTAACCATGGCACCACCAGGACTCCTCACGTAGCTGCTAGACAATCTAGAGTAATTTGTGTCGCCAACATTCCATTTCTCTATTAAGTTTGTGGAAAGAATAGTAGTCTCATCTATAAGGAAGTGCAGAAGTGTTTTATGTATGTAATACTGATTAAAGCTGGGGAACTGGAAAATTGTACACAGCTCATTCCTGATACAGAAGGCTGGGGAACAACCTTGGCTCACCCTAGGCCTAGACGGGGTGTGTGGCTGCAGTGGTCCTGAGATTGCCCACAGAACACAGTCTAGACATCAGCTTGACTTCATGGGAGTCTTGCAGTTGCAAAGGGAAAATGAGTTGTATAACAGTGATCAATGTATAATATGGCTAGAAAAGAGAAATCAATATATTAAAAACCTGAATGGGTGAGGTCATATAGTTTTTAATCTACAACTCTTCGAAGTGGGTTCTTAGATCCTCACCCTTCACCCACGCTTAGTGTTCATTTAAAAGGGTCTCCTACTTGGATGTTGGTTAACCAGGGGAGGAAGGAGGCAAAGATGCGGGTTAAGTCTTTACTCAGATACCACCTTTTCAATGGCATCTACTCTGACTGCTGTATTTCAAATCAGAACTCACGCCCTTGCCCCTAACGATTGATTTACCCCACTCTCCTTTTTCCTTCGCAAGAAGTACTTGTCATGTGCCCATTATTATCAAGCTCAGAGAATTTAGTTTAAGGTTCCTGACCCCCTTTTTTATTGCCCGCTGACTCTGTGCATGTGCAACTCTTTTAAGAAGTTGTTTTACTGTGGAAGTATATGATATTAAGAAAAATACTAGAAAAAGAAAGCTTATCGTGGGTGAAGGAGGAGGAAGAGCTTTTGCTCAGGGGGCATTGAGTTCATGGTGGTGGAAGAGTTTGGAGAGGGATAATAATCATGATTGTACAACATGAAGAGCATAATGGCACTGAATTATACATGTAAAAGTTGTTGAATTGGTGAATGTTTTATATATTTTTGCCTAAACTGAAAAAAAAGTCTTTTACATGAATACCAAGGAGTATGAGGGAAAAGAAAATGCTCTAAAATGGATTGTGGTGAAGATTGTACAGCTCTTCTTGATATGGTTGAACCATTGAATTGTATCATATGTGGATGAAGCGCAATAAAACTGTTAAAATAAAAATAAAAATAAATCACTAGGAACATTTTGCAAGAGGTGGGGGGAAAGATGAATAAGATAGTTTTTGTCTCTAAGGAACTCCCAATGTCATGAAAACACAACTCCAGGTTTGTGGATTGAGCACCTGTTATGTGGTGGATGTGGAGGTAAAATACAGGTGAGCCAAAGAAGGAACCGAAACAAAAGATACAGTTTCGGTCAAGCCACATGCAAATAGCACAGATGGAGGCACAAGACACCAAGTGCTGTGAAATGCGGTGAGACTCCAGAGAGAGGAATGGACGGCTTGGCAGGTCGTGCGGGCCTGGTAGAGATGGCGGCACTGTCCTGCACGCACTCAGGACAGTGGATTCTGAGCTCTCTCGTCCTCACAGATTTTTCTTCTCCCCATGGGCAGCTTCTAGCACACCTGCTGTGAACATTCAGCCAGACGTTTCAGGAGGCTGGGACTGGCATGCTAAACCAGGTAAAGATCGGCAAGTGATTTGGGCTACATATTTAACCAATTGCTTCACACAGCATGTTGTGAGCACGTACACAGTGCTCTTATTGCCCACCCTTGCCATTTGTGTTGCTATTTCCTGAAAATGTGTTGTGGCCCTCCTTTTCCCTTGATGACATGCTAGTATTATGCATTGTGAAACTTTCCTAAAGTGGCTGAATTCCTGCCTTGATAATAGAATCAGAGTGATCTAGGCGTGTATCCAGCTCTACCACTTTTTGACAAGCCCTGGTCATGGTTCTCTTATACGCAGATAGGGGTAATTACATACACAGATACACATACACAGATATACACACACAAATCCAAACACATAGACATTCACACAGAAACATGGACACACCCACCTACATGTACACAAACCTACACAGATCCATATAAACACACACGTACACACAGATTCACACACTATGCCACCTTCACAGCAGCTCTCTGAAGCTGTTGGTATTTCCTCTTTTTTACTAATGAGAAAAGTTTGATACTCAGGTAAGGGGCCTTAAGGAACATCCCAAGGTCACTCTGCTAGGATGTGGCAGGGCCAGAGTTCGGATCCAGCTCTGACTCCGGGCCACCTGAGCCCCTCAGAGAGCATGAAGTTAGGTTCTGTAGACAGAAGAGTTCACAGGTGTGGTCAGGAAACAGCTGGGCCTTTCTGTGTCCTGTCCCTGCTGTAGCCACCGTTCGTTCACTCAAGTCAGAGAAACAGGGACTAGCAACGTGTAATCCATGCCTAATCCTTGACCTGGTTTGTCCAGGCCAGGCGCTCTGAAATTCTGAATTTTAGAATTTAGAATTCATCATCAAATGACCACCGTGATCTTGTTTTCTTCTCAGGAGGTTTTGGAATGGGAAGCAAGTCTGCTGCCACCAGCCCAACCGGATCTTCACACGGCACTCCCACCCATCAAAATAAACCCCAGACTCTGGACCCCTTTGCTGACCTGGGGGCACTTGGGACAAACTTAGCAGGTTGGGATCCATTTAACATTTACTTGTGGCTACAGAGCTTCAAATCTAAATATTTAGTATAACAATGAATTGGAATTATTACCTGGGACCCCAAATAATGGGTATTATTAAGCTGTACTTTGAAACTTGGGACCGATCTTAAAAACAAATGAAAAAAAAGGCATCAAATTTTGGGTTGGGAACAACATTTGTCAGACCACTTATGAATGCTGCTTTTAGATTGCAATGGTCGCTTCTCGGCCTTTTGGCTAAGATCAAGTGTAGGCTAAAGCAAAAAACAAATTCACTGCTACTGAGTTGACTCATGGCGACCCTACAGGACAGGGTAGAACTGCCCCTTTGGGTTTCTATGACTGCAATTGTTTATGGGAGTAGAACGCCTTATTTTTCTCCCAGTAAGTGGCTGGCGGTTCTGAACTGCTGACCCTGCAATTAGCAGGCCAACTTGTAACCATGTCACCACCAAGGCACCTTGCACTAGCAACCTGAATAAAGCTAGAGCTGACAACAGAGTTTAGTGGCAGCAAAGGTAATGTAGGGGGCAGTAGTGGAGGCTGGTCAATGGAATAGGCGTCTGAACAAGGGCGAGCAGTCAGAAGATTTTGACTCTGAGGCAAGGGCTCTGAGAGTAAAAATTAAATTTCCAAATGATATAGCTGCAATTCAGAAGAGACTAAAAGACAGTGTCCTTCCCTTCAAGGTATTTTCATATTCAACAGTCCTAATGGACACATCACAACAGTTCCTCCTGTAGATAATTGTATGTAATTGGTCTTGTATGTGGCTTGGGTATTTGAAAAAAAAAAAAAAAGGCAAAATCCATTTCCCCTAAGTTGATTCCAATGCAGCCCTGGGGCAGAGTGGGCTACTACGTGTTGGATTACTGACTGTGCGGGCAGCCACAGCTCATAGAAAGATGAGACTTCCTACTCCGGTAAACATTATACAGTGTCAGAAACTCACAGGGCAGTAGCGCTGCTCTGACCAATTGGTTCTGTGCAAGTCAAAGTCACCTCGGTGTCAGTGCCCTGTGAGTTCATTCCCACGCATAGCGGCACCCCGTGTTACAGGGTGGAACGGCCCCATCGGAATTTTTGTTTGTTTGTTTCGTTTCCCTGTAATCTTTTCCAAAGCAGAGTGCCAGGCCTTTCTTCTGCAGCACCCTGGGTGGTTTCCAACAGTCAACCCTTCAGCTGGTTACCAAGAGCAAACTGTGCTAGGCAAGGACTTCCAAGCTCCCTAGGTGATTGTTGTGTGCAGCCAAGTGTGAGCACCCCTGCCTTAGCTTGGAAAGGGATAGCAGTGTAAAGTGTGGCTACTGCTCTGTGCTTCTCTCAGTTACCTTCACCCACAATCAGAATTGCTTAGCATGAGCGGAACAATCTAGAAGGGCAGACGTCAGAAAGTCCCCACGGATGAGCCCCCTCAGAGCAGGGTCAGCATCGGCCTGTTCAGCAGTGTGCCTGCAGCCTGGCAGGCAGAAGACACAGCACAGCACAGCAGTGCTTTATAACTGAAGGGGTCGATTCACACACATGTGAGAATATGGGCTTCGGTTTAGTACTTTAGACTTTCCACATCTACAGAGATTTTAGATAATAAATGCTTGTCGGCAGGACGAAACGATATGACACATTCCTAAAGAGTGGAAGTCCAGTGTGAAAGACGCTCAGTCTTAGTGTATGTTGACGTGTGGGTGGCAGGAGGGTGCCGCAGGGTCACAGGAAGAGTGGTTTCATGCTCTGAGTTTCCGACGGAGAGGGGACAATACCAGGCCTTAGAGGATAAGCCCTGGCGTCCCTTGCCCTATCTTCTGAGCCCACGATGCACTTGGGGAGACAGTCCTGGGGAGCGACTTCTGGAAAGGCACCGCTGAAGACTGTGGAGCATCATTCTACTGTGATGCACACAGGGTCCCCGTGCGTCAGGATCAGCCTGGTGGCAAGTGGTTGTGACATAGCAAATACCATGTGAACGTGCATTATTATTTTATATTTACTGCCTCTCAATTCAGAATTTGTGACGCACTCTCCTATCGCCATGCTATCTTTACCACCAAAGTCAAGTCATGACACAGAGTCAATTCCGGCTCACAGTGACCCTGTAGCACAGGGTAGAACTGCCCCGTGGGCTTCTGACACAGGGATAGAAAGCCCTGCCTCTCTTCCTCACTGCGCCTGGGAGTTTTGAACTGCTGACCTTGCAGCTAGTAGCCCAACACTTAACCACTAGGCCACCAGGTCTCCAGATCCTTCTCAAAGACTGGTGACTTTTTATTTCACAAACAAGGAGACTGAGGCTCAGAGAAGTGACGTTTTTCACCTAGGTTCAGAGCAGCAGGGATTCTCGATAGCATGTTTTCAGCTGTATTCCTAGTGCTCAGCACAGTGGCTGGCATATAGTAGGTGCTCAACAAATACTGATCAAATGAACATCATCTGGGCCCATGAGTGAGTCCTCGAGCTGAGACACCAAAGCTGGGGGGTCATCAACTCTAGTGACCATTAGACAGCGTTCTCAGTGGGGCTAGAAAGAGGCGGCCCAGGATCAGAACAGAAAGAAAAAGGACCTAGAGAATCCGGAGGCGTCAAAGGAAGAGTTGTGAAAGGATTTGGAACAGGATCAGTGATTAGGCAGATGGAGGATGGTGCTGCAAAGGAGCATGGGATTTGGAGGTAGGGCCCATTAGCTAGCTCTGTGATCACCAGCATGTCAGTAAACCTTTGTAGCCTTGACTGCCTCATGATTAAAGTAGAGCAGAAATACCATGTTCTTTCTAGGGGTGTTGTGTCGATCAAAGGCAGTAATGTACACAAACAACAGTTTGTAAACTCTAAAGATCCTTGGTAGTGCTGCTGGGTAAGCTTTGGACTTTTCACTGCAGGGTCAGCAGTTCAGACCCATAGCCACCCCTTGCAAGAAAGATGGAGCTCTCTGCACCCATAGAGTTACAGTCTTGGAAACCCTACATAGGGTTGATGTGAGGCTGAATTAACTTCATGGCAGTGAGCTGGGTCACGCGCTGTGAAACACTAATTCTTTTATCATTGTCATTTTGGACTCATTGCATGAAAGACCACCCCATTTCAGCTTCTTACTGCACCTCTTTAAACACAAGCCACGGCTGGTCTTCTGGGTATTTTGGTCACAACCCAGAATGTGGACCACGAGTGCTTAAAGGTTAGGAAGTTGAAATCAGGATTCTACTTGAACCCCTGGCACAAAAACAGTATTTTTTAAACCTTGAATAAGATCCTTTGTCTTCATCAAAGTTATCAGAGTATTGGCTGAGTTTGCACTCTTGCAGTGAAATCCTCGGTGTGCGAAATTGAAGCCCACTTGTGAAATTTCAAAGCCTCTTTACTTACTCTTGGGCACTAGCCATGTTTATAACAAACAATGATTGATCACACTGGTGGGCGTTTTAATAACCTCCCCATGCACGAAGTTTTTCTGTTGTATTCCTGGTCCTTGTCACTTGGTTGTTTTGACTCCATTGAAGAGACAGAACCTGCTGGGAAGTGGTGGAGGTGGTTGTGGGGAAGGCACAGTGAGAAGAGTCAGGGAGGGCTCCTGAGGCTTGGAGATGGAGTGGTCCCAGATTCAAGTCTTAGTTCTGCCACTTGCCTCTCCCCAAACTAAAAACCAAACTTGGTGCCTTGGAGTCACTGCTGACTGAGAGCAACCCTATGGGCCTGGGTAGAACTGCCCCCTGTGGGTGTCTGAGACGTAGCTCTTCATGGGAGCAGAAAGCCTCGTCTTTCTTCTGAGGAGTACCTGGTGGTTTCGAACTGCAGATCGTACAACAGTTCATAATCACTAAGGGCTCTTTAGATCACTTGCCTTTTCTGAGCTGCAGTTTGTTCATCTGAAAAAAACAGTGTGTGGTGGGGGGGTGGTGGTGGTGGCATCTATTAATAGATGCCTAAGAATGGCATTGTGGGATGAAATGAGGTGATGTATGTGCCTACAAATTGTTTAACAATTAAAACGTTAATTATTCTATCAGACAAGCCAGAGTGCACTAAAGTCATTATGAACATCTTGGAACATATGAGTTTGCGGACACTCAACTAGTTTGCCCTCCTTTCTCTCGTTTTTCCTATAGGTAGTTCTTCCTTTGCCAGCAAACCCACTACACCAACTGGATTGGGTGGAGGATTCCCGCCTCTGAGCTCACCACAGAAGGCATCTCCCCAGCCTATGGGTGGAGGCTGGCAGCAGGGTGCGGGCTACAACTGGCAACAGTCGCAGCCCAAGCCACAGCCCAGCATGCCCCACTCGTCACCTCAGAACCGACCCAACTACAACGTGAGCTTCTCAGCCATGCCCGGGGTCCAGAACGAGCGTGCAAAAGGACCTGCTAATCTGGGTAAGGGTGAGGGCACGGCACTTGGACATACAGCTGGCCTTATCTGTGTTGTCCTTCTGCCCGACTACGTCTGTCTAAGGACAGTGACAGAAAATGTTTCTGGTAGCTCTTGAGGCATTCTTACAGTTGTAGAAACAATACATGATGCCCAGTCCCGCTCCTATGCCTGGAGCCAAACCTTGGTATCCGCACACTCCCGACACTGTTTCTGTGCACACTGGGTCCAGTCTGAAGGCAGGGTTGCTCCAGTTACCACATCGCAGTCAGCACCTTGCCGGGCACTAGATGGAAGAGTTGATGAATGCGAGGGGATAAAACGTGGAAGTTGGGGTAGAACAAAAAGGTTAGGAACTTTCCAAGCACTGTTTTCAGATTTGCCCTGGGATCCTAGGTTAAGATAGAGGCGTGTGTGCATCTTGGTTATTTGATCCTTTTTATGCTCTGGTATGTCGGTATTCCAAAGACCAGCAGGACACCTCAAGTGGAGTTTTCCTCTCTTCTGAGAGCAAAGTTAACAGGGCACAAGCTGGACCAACATCTAGGACCAGGGAAATGCCTGGATGGGATTCTTGGCAAAGGATGGGAAGAAAGCCATTCGGCATAGCAGCGGTGGCTAAGCTGGGCTTTGTTGACAACGCCATCCTGGTGCATTTTACTCTTCGGTTGACCAGAAGGAAGGGAACAGAAAGCGATGAAGGAGGAACCTTTCCCCTGAAGAAGACGGGAAAGGCAGTTCAGCCCTTCCTTGTGGCAGTAGCTCCTGCGCTTGAGTGTTGCTGTGTCAAGTGCTATCCTTAGCTCTTTCCAAACATTATTTCATAAATCATCAACACTACCCCAGATGGCAGATCCAGAATCTATGGAATTGGGTAATTGCTTAAGTTTATGAAGCTTATAAGTGATACATTGGGATTTGAACTCAGACAATTTAAATCAAGGACCACGTTCTTTACAAAAAATTTTATATATAAGTATATATGTAATAATTTATAAATATAAATTATATATAACTATTTATCAATTCTACATTTCCCAACTGTTTAATGTAGTAATATCTGTCACATTATTCCTGTACAAATATCACCCCTAGTCAATGCCAAATTTCCCATCACCTTAAATAGGAACTTCCTGCTTCCCAAATAATGGCTCCCTCTCATGACCCTTGCTCTTACCCATCACACTCTGCTGGCTTTGACCTGGGTGTCATCCTTGCCTGCTCGTGGTGCTAACAGGATTGGAATTCTTTTGTTGGGGACATGTAACATCATGATTGTGCTTTGGTTAGCAGCAGGTCCTCCTTGCACAATTCCATAGAATTGTGGCTGCTTTTCCATTTATGCTTCTGGTGGGTGTGGAAAACGTATCTTCTATCAGCAGAAATATACACAGCACTTCTCTATAGAAAGCCGTGAGCAAGACGGATGAAATCCCTAGTCTTGTAACACTTACGTTTAATGTGTGCATGTATGAGTGTGTTCAGAAAGTCGTACAGTAAGGAGATGGCAAATGGATTTCAGCTCATGCTCCAGCTTTGGTTGATTGGCATTGGTACAGATGGGTCGCTGTGCTTCAGTTCTATTTTGCTTTTATGTACCACACACTTTAAAAAGTTAACTTTTCATTCTCACAAGAACTCAGTGGGGCAGGTCATATTATTGACATCACCCTCATTCTACAAAGGAGGACATTGAGACATGGAGATGGGAAGGGCTCTTGAGAAGCAGCAATAGCGTTGGGCATATGTGCCCTCTTCTGGCTCCCCTCTGGCCATGGCCCGCGCCCCATCACCTCTTCTGACACTGACTGTTCCTTCCACGCAGCTCGACAGCTGAGCGCTCACCCCCAACCAAACTGACTGCCATCGAGTCACTGCCAACTTATAGGACCGGGTAGAACTGCTCGAATGCGTTTTTGAGACGGTAACTGAGTCTAAAGCTCTCTTTCTCCCACCGGGCAGCGGGGGAACTGTTGACCTTGTGAGTCACAGTCCAAAGCGTAACCACGACACCACCGAGGCTCCCACACATCTGTGCTAGGGTCAGTAACTCACTGCAGTAGCCACACAGAACTCACAGACAAAACTCATAATTAAGAGAAGTCTATTAAGGATTATTAGCGAAGTCAGTAGATTCCTACAAGTCAGGATCAGAAAAGAATAAGGACGCAGTCGTTGGTCTCCTCAGCCAGCAGCCAAGACTTTCTCCGGCTCTTAGTTGTATGATTGGGGGAAACCATGAATAGCCTTATCTGTTAAAGGTGGCACAGCAGAAAGGGAACTGGACTACGGCTAACCAGTCAGCCCTACATTCCATCATGCCCATGGACAAGTTCTAAGAGTCTGTTCTGGCCACTGGTCTCCTACATTCTTCGTTTTCCTCATCTGAGAAGCCCACATGACAAGCCTCCGACCTTACGCACAGGGTGAGGGCGGGGATTCTGGGCCTGACTGCCCGCGAGCAACCTGAAACCCCGAGTGCTCTGATGATGCAGGATTGTGTTCAAGGGGGAAAGGCTGTAACGATTTTCAAACATCTCGTGGCAGATGGGAAACAGAAAGCGGCTGACTTTGAGGACCTGCTCTCTGGCCAAGGCTTCAACGCCCACAAAGACAAAAAGGGGCCTCGAACAATAGCGGAGATGAGAAAGGAGGAAATGGCCAAGGAAATGGATCCCGAGAAATTAAAGGTGAGCCCAGCGTCATCCCGTGTGACTCCTGCTTGAGAAGGTCGTGTTGTGAACATGCGCAGAGCCAGAGCCTTCTGCATGGGCGTCAAATACATTTGACGGCTTGGCGTGGTCACACAAGTTGCCTCTGTTTAACTATTAGAAAGGGAGAGCACACTCTTTTTTTTTTTCTTAATCATTTTATTAGGGGCTCATACAACTCTTATCACAATCCATACATACATCAATTGTGTAAAGCGCATTTGTACATTCATTGTCCTCATCATTCTCAAAACATTTCCTCTCCACGTAAGCCCCCGGCATTAGGTCCTCATTTTCCCCTCCCTCCCTGCGCCCCCCTCCTTCATGAGCCCTTGATAATTTATAAATTATTATTTTGTCACATCTTGCCCTGTCCAATGTCTCCCTTCAACCATTTTTCTGTTGTCCGTCCCCCAGGGAGGGGTCACATATAGTTCCTTATAATAGGTTTCCTCTTTCCAACCCACTCTCCCTCTACCCTCCCAGTATCGCCACTCACACCACTGGTCCTGTAGGGATCATCCGCCCTGGATTCCCTGTGTTTCCAGTTCCTATCTGTACCAGTGTACATCCTCTGGTCTAGCCAGACTTGCAGGTAGAATTCATGTCATGATAGTGGGGGCGGGGAGGAAACACTTAGGAACTAGTGGAAAGTTGTATGTTTCATCGTTGGGAGAGCACGGCCTTGATGGGGGTAATGTTGCTGTTCGGATGGCGCTGGGGCTAGAGAGAGCTGATGAGAAAGTGGTCGTGAAGGGGATGCTCTGTCTATGCCCATTCTTTCTGCCAGGCCAGTGTGCCTGGATGCACCTTGGAACTAACAGATCTGCATGTATGAGGAAAGGAACCCTGGTGGCACTGTGGGTTCAGCATCAGGTTAGCCACAAGGTTAGCAGTTCATCCCCAACAGCCCCTCTGAGGGAGAAAGGTGGGGGTCTGCTCAGCTAAAGACTTAGGGCCTCAGAAACCCCCCAGGAGCAGTTCTCCTACCATCTGCAGGGTTGCTGCGGGTCAGAATTGACTCGTGGGGAAGTGGAGGCGGGAAGGTGAAGGGCCTTATGGAGCTGGGCTTCCCCAGAGCCCTCTTCACTTTCACCCAGAGAAGTTCTACTCTCATCTTTGGTTTTTCGTTCTAGAGGCCTAGAAAATACTTCCTTTGGAGGGGTTGGGAAATGTTTCTCATGGGTGGCCGGACGTGAATTTACCCTTTTGATTTCATAGATAAGTCGTAAGTGGCTGTTGGTTCGTAGATGAGGACGTTGGGTGGTCAGGTAGACACAGGTTAGGATGGAAAGAGAGGGGCCTTTCTGTTGATAAACAGTGTGAGTTTGTAAAGAGTTTGTGAAGGTGAAGAGAGAATGCCCTTCACAGATAGGGAGGTGGCTCCTGTGTATTGAGACATCGAACCTGCTGGAACTGTCACATTCTGGGACCACCCAGAGGATCCGTTGCTACTTTAAAGCAGCTCCCAAACCAAGCCGAGTCAGCCTGCGACTGTACACATTGTGAAACGTACACTCAGGGAGGTACACGCTGCTCCTGTTCTCCGTTGTTGCTGAGCAGATTCAAGCATCTGGTGCAGATGTCTAGACTCTTTGATGTGCTGTTGAGTACTGTGGAGGGCCCTCTGTTTGCACTGGCTTTTCATGTCCATAGTTGTACCCGCCCACTGTCACCGAGTTGGTTCAGATTCAGAGTGACCCAATGGGACAGACTAGTCCTGCTCCCTACGGTTTCCAGGACTGGAGATCTCTCCAGGAACAGACAGCCTCATCTTTTGCCCCCACACAACCAGCCTCATGCAACATCTTTCTATTCCCATCCAAAACTTCACTACAACCTTTGCTACCTAAAGATTCCTTAGGTAAATTCTAATAGTCTGGCAATTATTTCATACTAAAAAAACAACCTAGGGACCTCTGAATGACTTTACTGCATCAATGCATTTAACAAATACTTTGAGCTCCATTTTGTGCTGGGCATATTATTTGGTTCCTGAGATACAGGGACAAATGAGAAATTGTATCTTTCCTAAAGGAGCCCTTCCTAGTGGTAAGACAAGACAAGCACACAGGCTATGGCGATAAAATGAAACATTTATCAGGGTCACATGCATAAATTAGAATAAAACCTATGGCCATTGAGTTGATGAGGTTCCGAGCTGTAAGTCGTTGAGGGAGCAGATCACATCATCCTTCTTCCATGGAACAGCTGGTGGGCTGGAGCCACCCACCTGTGGTTAGCAGCCGAAGGCTTGGCCAACAGTGACACCAGTCGCTCCAGGAATCTCAATATTGCAGGAAGCATTCAGTGAGTATGTGTATGCATTAGACACTGTACTTGGTATGGGCGTATAGCAGGGCAAAACACAGAGTGTGTACCCTGCTTTATTTTTTCAGGATGGATTGATTCTCTCTGGAAGGAGCACTAGTGGCACAGTGATTAAGCACTTGACTGCTAACTGGCAGGTTGGCAGTGGAACCTACCCACGATTGTAGGGAAGAAGGATATGGCTCTGTCTCCTTCAAGGTGACAGACCGGAACCCCTGTGGGGCAGTTCTACTCTGTCTTACTGTGTCTCTAGGAGTCTGAATGAGCTCGATGGAAACAGGTGTGGTGTGGTTTGGGGTAATTAACTCTGGTAGTGGGGTTGGGGGGAGTAGGGGAGAGGGATCCAAACTCTCAAAGGCTAAGGGTATGAAATCCTTGAGCAAGCTTGTGAAGTATGGTGATGATTAACCAGATCAGCAAGGCATGAGGTAGAGAGGGAAAAGCTTAAAGAGTCCTGGAAGCCCCACGCACTTTAAACAGGAAAAGTCTCCAGAGTACCAGTGGAGAGCCTATGGACTAAAAAGCATTTGAATTTCTTAATTCCCCTTGCACTTACAGATCTTAGAATGGATTGAAGGCAAAGAAAGAAATATTAGAGCCCTTCTTTCCACAATGCACACCGTGCTCTGGGCTGGGGAGACCAAGTGGAAGCCAGTTGGCATGGCAGACCTGGTAACTCCAGAGCAGGTAAAGAAGGTGTACCGGAAGGCTGTTCTGGTGGTGCACCCAGATAAAGTGAGTATGACCTGGTGAACGGTGTTGTTGTCTCATGTCACTGTTTTGTAAGCCTCACTCTTTCAGTATATTGTTGGATCGAGTCATATAATTAGTATCTTAAAAACCCATGAGGTAAAGTTGGATATCTAAACAAACAGTTATACTTCATGAAGTAGGTAAAAACAGATCACGCCGTAGATTATGAAACTACAAAATGGGACCTTTACGAGGGAGACATGACTCACCTGTAAGATCTACAAATATAAATTGTGCCCTGCCCTCTTAGAGCATCAAGGATAAGCTAAGAGATGGACAGAAGGAAGCTTTTCTGCTCAGGGTAGACTATACGGAGGCTTGGAACATATTTGACAAAACTGGAGAGAATCAACAGAATATTCAAAGTGGAATAAATGAATCACCGTATTGCTCAAGCTAGTTTATGTTTTCCTAAAACTGTACCCACATATAAGTTGTGCATATTTCAAAAACTGAAAAACTATGGATATTCAAACTATGATTGATATGTTCCCAATAGAAGTGAGTCACCTTGCTTCCATAGGGACAATCGCTATTATATGGCCCTAAGCTGTAACTGAAATGTCACTTGGGATGGGAACCCCTGCTTCTTGAACCTGATGTATTTGTCTTTCATCGTTTCCCTTTTGTGACTAGTCTGAATGAATGAGAAACACTTTTTATTTTTTATAAGAATCACATAAGGAAAAAGAACAAGAGCCCAGAAAAGGCCACAAATTGTCTGCCCCCATTATCAGTCTCAAAGAACTTAACTGGTTTGGGGATGGGAAAGTAGGAGTTTGGAAATATAGACAATCACTGGGCAGTAGTCTGCCGTAGACCCTGGTTTATCTGTAGAGGCTTCTAGAGATTGAAGAGGCGTCTTTTGCTCCCCACGTGTTCTCTGTTTCTCAACATAGCACCACTGAAAAAATAAAACAGTATTATCTTCACCATATGTGAATTTCTAGGATGAGGGTTTGTGGGTCACAAAGGGTCACAAAGAGAAAGAGAGAAATGGCCCATTAAAAAAAAAAATCCGTCCCTCTGAGTCCGTATATTGGCCGCATTTTAATATAGCACCCATCTGCCCTGAGCCCTGCGCGAGTTCTGTTGCGTTCGGAGGGAGCTGACGTGTGTTTTGTTCTTTCTGTAGGCTACTGGGCAGCCCTACGAACAATACGCTAAGATGATTTTCATGGAACTAAATGACGCATGGTCTGAATTTGAAAATCAAGGCCAAAAGCCCTTGTACTAATTCACAAGCTTTCCCATCTTGGCTGCAGACGTGTACTAATAATGCTTAGTGTGTGTCACCGTTCCGAGTATTCACAGATGAACCAAACAAAAACATTCAGTAATGCGTTTTCAGAACTAAACTGTTAAATAACTCGTGAGTTAATTCCTCGTCGATAAGGCATGTGGATGCTTGGTTTCTCGAAGTCCCCAGCATACAATGTCCAGAGAGGAGAGGACGGGCCTTGTCAGTCAGATGACCTCGCAGAGTGACGGCGTTGCAGCCTGCCCCGTGGCGAGCCGACTCAGCACTGGCCCGGGAGGAACGGAGCTGGGGGTCCTAGAAGGCACTGCACGCGTCCGTCGCATTGGGTGACATGAGCAACAGTTAAGAGGGTAGAATTACAAGGTGGTTTTAAGTAATGGTTTTAGCCTTTCCTTAAAAAGATGTAATTTGAGCAGTGGCGTTCTGGATTCGAGAAACACAACCAGCAAGTTTTTTTCTGTGTCTCCCCCTCCCCACCCCATCCCCGTGGGAATTTACTATGACCTTTAGCATACCTGTACACTTGTTTTGGTCAGGGGGACTAACAAACAAAACAGAACCTAAAATGCGGGAAGTGGTTACGCTACAGTCCATTGATGACCTTGGGCTGTTGCCAGGTATGTGCACCAGGGAAAATGCTGGCTATAGAAAACAGGGATTCTGGGCATCTCAAAATCTTTATTTCTGGTCAGGCGGTTCTGCCACTGCCTTCCATTTCCTTCATGAAACTAGGGTCAAATAAAGAAAAAGGTCTTCATAGTAGAGCAGTCACTCTGAACCTCAATGGAAAGGAACTCCTAATTCCCCATAAGCCTTTTGCTTAGCCAAGAATGTTGCAAGCTGGAAAAAGGTTTTGAAGCCACTTGGCCCGTTCAGAGTTTATCAGGCCTGATAGCGAGTTCTGGGCTCAGTATTCTCTCAGTTTGTGGGCGGTTGTGGTCCCAGATTGCAAGAGGACAACCCTGAACGCCTGACCTGAGAAATACCCACTGAGTGAAGGCTGGGCTGGCCTTCAGATCGACTCAGCTGTCTGGTCAGTATTTGACTCAAAGGAACCAGATGCCACACTCCCTCCCCACCCGGTGGATTGGGACCACTTGGATTAGCTGGTGGGGTTTATTGTTTTAAAAATAGTTGGCAGTCCAAAGGAATAACATTCACACAGGGACATCTGTGAAAGCAAAGCAAGAGTGAAGTCTTGCCAGACCTCAAAGCAGCAGGATTGCAGTTCAGTGTGTGGGCTGCTAAGCAGTTGGTACCTTAAGACTCTGGCCGGTCAGTTTTGGGTTGCCCAGACACAGTGTGCCGAGAATCCATACGCAAAGCGAATGAGCAAAACGATGCCAGGCTCATCTGAAAGGTTTATATCAATATTGTGAAAAGCTTTCAAAAGTTGTTTTTCAATGACAATCATTTTTGGTTTCTATTTTAATTTCTTTGTGGCAAACTATACCAGAAAAGCAGCATGTCAAAAATGATTTATGTTCTATATAGAACTCTTTAAAAAAATTTTTTGGTTATAAAAGTTCACTATTTATTTTACCTTTAACTGACAATGTGAAACTCGCAGAAAAATGTTAAATTATACAGCTGTTAACTGGTCAAGGTAACCATAACAACTAGGTGTTATTTATTAATGTATTATGATATAATGTTTGATCCAGTATGTGCTTGTCTTATTTAAAATTGGAATGTGAGACATGTTGCTGTGACCTGCTTTTGTTTTTTGTTTTCCTTTCTCATTCACATCTGTAGATAATGCGTGAACTACCGTAATATAACAATAATTAAAAGGATATTATGTGGATGTCACGTACACTTTGAAATGGTAGAACTATATTAGCTTTGTATCACGTTTGGATAATTCATCAAAGTTCACATTTAAAACATCATCAAATTAATGCTATGTAATTAGCAATGAGAAAGAATCTTACCTAACTTAAATTTGGGGAATTTTTCCCCTTCACATGTCTTTTCCAGATACATTAGACTTCTGGACCCCTATTTATCTCAAACCTCTTAACATATGCAGACCTGCAGGTTGTTATATTCCCCTTAAATATCTGGTTGTGACACAGCTTGTTGTTGGTCAGAGTCACTGTTTCATTCATATTTATTGTAATATATTTTTTGTTTTGTAAATATATTACACACAATAAAATGTGACTGGTCTAAAATATTTGTAATGTATATTAAAAGGCTCAAAAATACTTACAGAAACCTGTTATTTTCATACTTGTAGGAAATGGGTCAGAAGGCGGAAGCGCCCTCTAATGTGATTCACTCTTCAGGAGACTAGCGGGGAACTGGAATCTGAGAGGATTTCTGATTGATACTTTAACCACCATATTTGTCCCTCCCCATACGCATGATCACCTTGGCCATTTTAGTAATATGATCACCTCTCAGTCAGGTTACTCGAATACTATCTTTTCAAAAAGCAGTCCCGGAGAAATCCCGGCCTCCTAACTGAAAACTGAGTGGGTTTTTCAAAGTGCAGTCCATATGCTGAGGCACAGGGCCGAATCCTGGGGTCAGGGGCCCTTGTTATAGAAACAAAGCCCTTTGTGCTCTGTCAGGCCAGAAGCAACATGTTCACCTGGGAAGAAATCGGACAAAACAAGGCATTGAGCCATCCCTGTACTGCCTGCATCTGAAAAGAATGTCCAGGGTGGATGGCAACGCTGCTGAAACACCACTCTGATCAGGATGAAAGGGGGAAAAACTGAATTCCATAAACAATTATCACAGCAATATGGACAGTCTCTTTGCTGGAAACTCCTGGTAGGGAATTTAGGTCAAGTAAACAGGTTTTGATTGTTCTAAAGAAACTGTGGTGCTTGAGAAAAGCGGTAGAGTGCTTGTTTAACCCCAAAAGAACCAGGTTTGAGTTTTTGATTTGTCTTCTGTGGACTATCATATCGGGCAAGTTTTAGAATTTTCTTTTTTTTATAATCATTTTCTTGGGGGCTCCTACAACTCTTGTTACAATCCATATATCAATTGTATCTGACATATTCGTATATATATATTCCATCGTTCTTTTCTAGACATTCACCTTCCATTGAGCCCTTTAGAATTTTCTTAAGTCTGCATCTTAGCACCTGCAAAATAGAGATAAAGCATGTGTATGTAAACTGCCAGTGATCACGTGGGTACCTGCTAAGAAGTAACTACTGTTAAGTCAGAGCTTTGGTGGCAGTGCAGGCTACTAACTGTAAGGTCGGCAGTTTAACCCCCTCAGCCTCTCTTTGGGAGAAAGATGGGGTTTTCTGTACCTGTAAAGATTTATAGCCTCAGAAGCCCTACAGAGGATCACTAAATAGTGTATATTTTATGGTAGAAGAGGAGATATTGACCTCAGCTTGTAGAGAGTGGTTAAACATCAGCAGGAAAAGACACCCCAAAGCCACTTGGGACCAGAAATAGCTGCCTGTATCAAATGAGAGCCACAGTGATGGTTTAGTAGTGACCAAAGCTAAGTCCACTGCCATCAAGTAGATTCTGACTCGTGGCAACCCTGTATAGTGTTCCTGAGGCTATAAACCTTTATGGGAGAAGGTAGCCTCATCTTTCTCCCTTGGACCAACAGGTAGGTTTGAACTGCTGGCTTGGACTTAGCAGTCTAAAACTTACCTGACAGCCACCACCAGGGCTGTTTGTGTAAGAGGAAGCAGCGGTGGCAAGTTAGGAAGGAAAACCAACATTGACTGATTTCAGTTGTGTCACGTCACACTTGCATTTAACTTGGGCACTGGCTTGAGAGGCCTCCCCAGTGACAGATGTGGCCCTACTGCATCTATTTTCATACATAAAATAAAGGGGGTAAGTCAAAAAGTATTGCTACAAAATTGTAGGCATCTTTATTAAACAAAAATATAATATGGTAAAGATATGGTCCCTCAACCTGTTATCTATCTAGGTCTGTGCACTTCTGTAGACAGTCTCCAGCTCCCTTACCCTCTTCCCAACGAATTCTAGTTTTTTATTTACGACACATTAAAATGGCAGCTTTGGTATCCTCAAAAACAAACACCCACTTCACCCAAAGCCAAAACTGACCGCCTTCCAGTCGAAACCGACTCAGTTACCCTAACAGGAGAGGGTAGAACTGCCCCTGTGGGTTTCAGAGACCCACGCTCCCATGGGTCAGCTGGCGCTTTTGAACTGCAGAACTTGCAGTTTAATTACCTTTGAATTTACCTTATTTCCCAGCCCATCGAGTTTTCATTATAGATGAATGGCTAGGGCTACGTCTTTGCACTTTATTTATTTATTTATTTGTTTAGGGCTAATTCTGAAAGATTTTGTAGTTAATAAGCTAATAACTATGGAGGGGCCCTGGTGGTGTAGTGGTTACACGTTGGTCTGAGATCTACAAGGTTGGCAGTTTGAAACCAACATTTCCGTGGGAGAAAGATTGGACTTTCTACTCCAGTAAACAGTTCCGTCCTGAAACCAACAGCTGGTCACAATGAGTCAGCATGGACTTGATGGCAGGGAGTTCGGTTTGGTTTAAGACAATACTCTGATCACTGCAGACAGGAAGGCAAGATGCGGAATCACAGACTATTAATAGTAAGTGGGTGCTATTTGCCGAGAGTAACTTCCTTCCCCTGTACTATAATATGCAGGCTTTCCAGGCAGCAAGTCCCGCGGTTCTCCACCCCAGGCCAGGAGTTCAGGCGCTGTGCAGTGTTTCCACCTGTAGGTGCAGATGTTTCCAAGACTATAAATCTTTATGGGAGTAAATATTTCTCCCATGGACCTACTAGTGGACTACTAGAGGTTTCAAATAGCTGACCTTAATGGTTAGCAATCCAATGCATAACTTCTTTGCCACCAGGGCACAAGGACAAAATGTTCTTCCGAAGAACTGCGGTTGGATACTGTAGGTCCACGCTCAGATTCACAAGCCTAGAGGGAGTCGCCCAGGGCTCGGGATGCGAGAGGCGGAGTTCAAGACAGGCAGGGGCGGGGCTGTTCCCCCGGGAGCAGGATTCGGCCTATAGGAGCGGGGCTTTGCCTGCAGGGGGCAGGAAAGGCCTGGAGGGGGCGGGACTCTGAGTGTTGGAATCTGGGGCCGGAATCTACATGTAGGGGCGGAGCCTCCAGGGGCAATTTGGGGCTCTGGGGGCGGGGCTATGCAAAGAAGAGGCGGGCCCCGGCCCCGCAAAGGCGGAGTAGTGGGCCGGCGGGGCGGGGTTTTGTGTGGAAGGGCGGGTCTGGGCCTTCTAAGCGGTCCGCCGGAGCGGTGGCAGGAACCGGAAGTCGCCGCGGTCTCGGCTCAGGAGACATGGCGGGCGTTAAAGGTATATCCGCGGCCCCCGGCCCAGTCCTTCCGCGGTGCGGCCGCCCCCCTGCCGGGACGGAGCCTTGAGCGGCACCTTTGGCGCGCTTGTGGGAAGCGGCCGCTCCCGTCGTCGCCACTCTTCCCGCCTCTCCGGGTCGGGAGGCGCCCGCCTGCTTCTCTTCCCTCGGGATACGAATGGAGGGCAGTTTCGGGAGGAACCGCAGCCCTTTTGGGGGAGCCCACCGGCCGTCACGTTCGCATACGGTGTCCCTCGGTCCCTGCACGCGCGGGCCTCGCGGTGGTGCCGGCTCGCGCTGGTTAGCCGGGGAGCATCTCCTCCGGCTCGGGTTCCGGCTCTGCGCTCGGGCGCCCCTCCCCTGCGCCGGCCAGCTGCTCCAGGGGGTCCCACTGCCCACCTTGGCCTCCAAAGGTCCCTCCCTGTCCAGGCCTCTGGTAGATCTACTTCTTCCCGAGAAGCCACCGCCTCCTAGTGTTGTCTTCGCCGGGAACTTCACGTTCCTTGTGCATTTTTCAATTAGTCAGAGTTGACTGCGGGCGGGTGCTAATGGAAAGCGCCCAGAAATGCTGTATTTTCCGTAAATGTGAAGACTAGAAGCTTTTTAGCACTGTTTTCATTTCTATGGACAGACAAGAAATGAGCGACGTGCAATGTGTGTATGAGTGGGACCCTTGATAAAAAGGGGTACCAGGAATGCTGCTTTTCCTTATCTGTAGCCTTCAGAGAAATGAGGGGCGGCAGCCACAAGAGAGGGTGTCAGACCTTTGGGGAGGAAAATCTTACGAATTTCTAATCTTGCGAAGAGACTAGCATAACATATTTCCTTGTTGGAGCCCCTGCTCTTCTTGAAATTTCTACCAGATCTTTTCTCCCCACCTAACCATATCAGCATGCAGACAGTATGTGTTGTGAGTGTTCATTATGACATTTATCCGAGTGTGTGAGCTGCTAGCAGGAGATACATGCTTTTCGTTATAATTGGCTGGGTTCTAAATGCAGTATCAGGTTAGCAAACATGGTTTAATTGGAATATGTCCCGGGTGGTGGTGGTGGTGGTGGTGTGAATGCAGATACCTTAGTTCTACACAGTTTTTAGTTACAACCAGAAATTTTTAAACAATAATGTTTCATTATGTTCATGGTAGACATTGTGACCTAGTAAAAAAGTTAGATACGAAATTGAAAGATAATAGGAAGAGGAAGAATTTTGTAGCTAGTTCCATTCAACTTTCTTTTGAGGGAGTACTGTTTGCCTGAGACGGAAGTGGGGGTAGTTATGGGTGGGAGAATAAATGGGAAGTTACTGTGAGGTTACAGCTGGAAACAATAATTACTGTGTAAATGTCTAAGGCAATGATTCTCAACCTGGGGGTCGCGACCCCCTTAGGGTCACCTGATTCATAACCGTGATGAAGTAGCAACAAAAATAATTTTATGGTTGGGGGTCCACCACAACATGAGGAACTATGTTAAGGGTTAAGGCATTAGGAAGGTTGAGAACTGACAGTGTTGAAGTAGCGGCGAAAATAATTTCCTGGTTGGGGGGTCACCACAACATGAGAAACTGTACGAAAGGGTCGCAGCGTTAGGAAGGTTGAGAACCACTGGTCTAAGGTGTATTCCTGTGTAAGCAGATCTATTCCAAGAGGCATGGCGTGGGTGTGGGGGGAGGAGGCTAGACAGAACACATTTGTTTAGTTTAAGCTGCCTTAGTAACACTGTAGTTAGAGGGGAAGTGGGGAAGGTTGAAACTGGACAGGCAGTTATGGGTCAGGCAGTTATAGATGAACCTCAAGTGTCAGGGCAACTGGTAGATGTGAATGGTGTGATGGATGCCTGATTCATAGATTTGAAGATGACTATCTGATGTGGAAAGGATGGATTGGAGGAGTCATGGTCAGAGGAATGTAGATTCTTAGAAAGGTCCAGGCTTGAGATGATGAGAGTCTGCTTTAGGGAAATGGTGGAGGGTTCTAGAGAAGAAGATTGTTTTGAGCAAATTTTTGGAAGTTGAGTCATTTGGACTTGGTGAGTGCAGTGTCAGGGTCTGCCCTTCAGCATGGGATTCCAAGTTTGCGAGAAGAGGCAGGATGATGATTGTGTTTTATCTATAGGGAATTTGATTATGAGTAAGAGCCAACTCAGCAATCGTTTCTGGTTTTATTGGCTATCAAGGCAGAGATGCTTGAAGCCTTTCCCAACCTTATGATTTTGAAGTGTGGTGGGCATCAACCAACCCAAGGTAGCCTATGTCAGCTAACCAAATACATTTTTAACTGGTTAAATTTGGAATCTTTAACTTTAAAATGTTTACATTGAAATATAATTCACATATAAAACTAAATGTCATCTGAAGTATTAAAGACTTGCCTTAAAACAGCCATCTAAGTGGATTGTAAGCTATGTCCTCATCAGAAGCACACCAGCCTGTGTGATCCAAGAATTGTAAATAAAATAATCCAAGGTCAGAGGAGGGCTTTGACTTAGAACTTAAATTCTGAGCACACAGTTTGCATAAGGCTACAGATGACAGTGAAAACCAAAAATTAGCATGCAGAGTTCCTACTCAGATTAAGCCTCCATTGAATTCCCTTGAACCATATGAATAGGCTTGCCATCAGGCAAAGCGTATTGGCAAGTTGAGTATTTTAGATGTAGTTCCGTTAAAATTAAACGTATTATTTGTTTTCCCATTTGACCCATTTTTAATTTGTTCTAGTTTCTTTTTTGCGTTCACTTGGATTGAGGTTTTTCTGTTATTTTGTTGTAATCATTGGGCTTTTGTATGATTTTTCTTAAGTGAAATCCAGGATAGGTAAATCTACGGAGATAGTACCTAGATTAATACGTTTTTAGGGTTGTGGCAGGAGCCCTGATGGCGAAATGGTTATGCATTGGGCTGCTAATGGCAGGGTTAGCAGTTCAAAACCACTAACCTGTGAGGAGAAAGATGGGGCTTTCTACTCCTGCAAAGAATTACAGTCTTGGAAACCCACAGGATCAGTTCTACCCTGCCCTGTAGGGTTGCTGTGAGTCAACATTGACTCGCTGGCAGTGAATTTGGTGCATGGGAGGGTTATGACAGGGGAGCTTGAGGGTTAATGGAGAGCTAATAATGGTACCAGAATGAAGCAAATGTTCTTAAACCAACTGTGGTGGTGATTGCTCAACTTGTTGTGATGTGTTTAAACCATTGAGTTATATGCTATGTGAATTCTATGTCAGTAAAACTGCTAAAAAAAAAAAAAGTAAAAAAAGACCAACCTCTTTAAAGTGGCTTTTAATGTATTCACACGGTATGTAACCATACATTACCAAAAGTCCAAACTTGTTACTGTTGAGTTGATTCCAACTCATAACCACTCAAGAGCGGAACTGTGCCTTTCAGCTCTCCTGGACTGTAAATCTTTGTAGAAGCAGACTGCCTCGTTTTTCTCCCCTGGGCCCGGTGTTCAGACCACTGGCTTTTTGACTAGCAACGGTATGCTTTCAACCCTGGTGCTACCTGGGTTCTGTGGTACAGGCGCCACCACCTTCTAATTCCAGTACATTTTCACCACCCAGAGAGCAACTCTACCCATTAGTGCTCATTCTCCTCCATCCCCTGTCCATTTTCTGTCACAGTTGTAGGATCAGTGTTTAACTTTTCATTTTATTTTTCACAGCTCTTGTGGCATTATCCTTCAGTGGGGCTATTGGACTGACTTTTCTTATGCTGGGATGTGCCTTAGAGGATTATGGGTAAGCTATCCTTTCAAATAACAACAAAAATACCCAAACCATTTTTCTTTCTGTGTCTTTGACAGTATGGTTGTAGAGAGTTGGGCCATTTTAGCATATAGCCATAACCAGGTGAATTTATAAAGCACAAAATTTGAACCTTGGCTTGTGCAGTGTCAAGGTCTTGTAAAACTGGATTTTTTTTTTCATTTTATTAAAATGTATTGGAACCAGGTTCTTTACGAGATTCTTGGCATATATAGCATTATGTGACACAGGTCTACCTTACAGTTCGTTGTGAGTGAGAGCCAGATGAATTCGTCAACAAATGACGTCTGTAGTGGAGACAGAGCTTCAGTCTGGCTCATTATGTAGTTCAACTGCTTAGAAATTTGCATTGCCATCCCAAATGTACTGAATCAAAATCTACGTTCCTAACAAGATCCCCAGGTGATTTGGGGAAATCACCTGGGAATTTATAAGTGTTACCTAATGACTGTGTGTGTGTGTGTGTGTGTGTGTGTGTGTGTGTGTGTGTGTGAGTGAGAGAGAGAGAGAGAGAGAGAGAGAGACCTAAGTGTCTGTGATCACCTGGGAGCTAGAGAGAGAGAGAGAGACCTAAGTGCCTGTGATCACCTGGGGAGCTAATTAAAGTGTAGACTCTGATTCAACATAAACGGGCAGATTCTCAGGAAGGCCCTGAGCTGGAATGAACCGGTTCACAGCCTCGGTGGACATCTGCCAAGAACAGTGAGAGCTAAAGCACGTGTCCCCGGTCTCCCTGAGAGCTTAAGGAAGGCCTGCGTGGACAGGCTGGACTTGCACGGAGACGACGAAAACATGAGCTTAGCAGCCCGATGGGTCAAAAAGGTATTCCGGATTGAGGAAACCGTCAACACAATCCTTTATTCAACAGCCACTTGTTGACCCCCTACCCTATTCCAGCCACTGTTAGGGGAATTGGGGAACAAGAAGTTAAAAAGCAAAAATGCCTTGCTCTCTCAGAATCTGTATTCCAATTGTGGAGGAGAGCAGGGGAGTTGGGTCAATAAACAAATGGACAGTCTGTTAGGAGTAGGCGAGTTTGAAGGAATAAAACTGGGTGAGGGCACAGGGGAGGTAGGGATGAGAAGTAGAGAAGCCCTCTGAGAGGCTGAAAGGTGACCCCAAACCTAGAGAAAATAAGGAAGCAGATCATGTAGGTATCTGGAGGAAGAAGGTTTTAAACCTCTGCTGCCATTGAGTCTATTTCAACTCAGTGACCTTGAACTGCCCCATAGCGTTCCCAAGGCTGTAATCTATGAACCAGAGTGCCATGCCACGTCTTTCTTCCTTGGAAGAGCTGATAGTTACCAACTGCTGATAAGCTGCTAAGCACTTAACCACTGCACTACCAGAATTCCTTAAGAGGATTGTAGGCTCCGAGACAGGAGAGTGCATAGGTTTTTTTCCAGAAACCATGTATGGTTCTTTGTGTTAGAGAAGAAAGGAAGTGGCAGAAGTTGTTGGTCAAGAATCCAGGACAGGGGGAGGGAGGGAAAAAGAGGAGCTGATACCAAGGGCTCAAAAGAAAGGTTTAGAAAATAATGAAGGCAACAGATGTACAAATATGCTTGATACAATTGATGTATAGATTGTTGTAAGAGCTGTAAAAGCCCCCAATAAAATGATCTTTTAATAATAATAATAAAAGAATCCAGGACATAGAATCAGTCCTTTTGAGCTTAGTATGTCATGTGCAGGAAAAAACAAAAACTCAACGCCGAGTAGATTCCAACTCAGTGTGATCCTCTCTGGGGTTTCTGAGGCTTAAGCCTTGACGGTAGCAGGTAGCCTTCTCGTTCTCGAGAGGAGCAGCTGCTGGGTAAGCAGTCAAATGCTTCCCCCAAAGCACCGCCAAGGCTCCGATACCGTGTGAAGAATCTTGAGAATGGGTTTGCCTCCCTCACTGCCATTGAGTTGGTTCTGACTCATAGCGATCCTGTAGGACAGGGTGGAACTACCCTTTGGAGTTTGAGGGACTCCATTGTTACAGGAAAAAAGACCACCGCATCTTTTTTCCCACGGAGCAGCCGGTGGGCTCCACCTACCCACTTTGCTGTGAGCTGTTCCACTACAAGGAGCTTTTATGTTAAGATGGTTAACCTGGACAAGGCAAGATAAGAAAGTGCTTAGACTGCACGCAGGGAGGCTGGAAAATATTAACATAAAGCAAAATTGGCTACAAAAAACCCTCTAAACTATTAAAAAGCAATGATGTTGCTTTGAGAACTAAGGTGTGTCTGGTCCAATCCCTGGTATTTTCCATTGCTTCATATGAGCACAAAAGTTCGACCAGGAATAAGGAAGATCAAGAAAGAACTAAAGACTTTGCATTATGGTATTAGTAATGGATATTGAATGTACCTCTGTTTTAGTTATTTAGTGCTGCTATAACAGACATACCATAAGTGAATAAGTGAATGGCTTTAAATAGAAATGTCTTATCACACAGTTTAGGACATCAGAAGTTCTAATTCAAAGCAGCAGCTCTAGAGAAAGGCTTTCCCTCTATTTTTCCTGATTGCAAGAGGTACTCAGCTGTGGGGCGAGGAGGGTCCCCAACAAATCACCACAGTCCGGTAGGCGCAATTGTACAGCCATAATAAGTAAAGATTATAATAAAGTCATAGAGAGCATGAGAGGTAGAGGAGAGATTGGAATAATGGGGTCAGACACAATTCATGGTAGCATGCTCACCTCAGCCCCGCTTGTTGGTCCTTGTGGGGGTAGCCCGGCCATGAGAGCAGGAGAGCCCCCAGGGACGAGGACCAGGGAGAGCCTCAACTTTATTCTTTTTTTTTTTTAATCATTTTATTAGGGGCTCATACAACTCTTATCACAATCCATACATACATCAATTATGTAAAGCACATTTGTATATTCATTGCCCTCATCATTCTCAAAACATTATTTTTCCCCTCCCTCCCTGCTTCCCCTTCCCTCATGAACCCTTCATAATGTATACATTATTATTTTGTCATATCTGGCCCTGTCCAATGTCTCCCTTCACCCACCTTTCTGTTGTCCATCCCCCAGGGAGGAGGTCACATGTAGATCCTTGTAATCCGTTCCCCCTTTCCAACCTCAACTTTATTCTTCACCAAAGGTTACATCTCCTTGGGGAGGCCTGGCTACAGGTAACCACACATCACAGGAAGGGGCAGTACAATAGGCATACACATTGTAGGAAAGGGATCTATGATAGGCATAAGCGTAACAGGAAGGGGATGAGCTAGGGGTGTGCCCATAGGAATGGGAAGGTCTAGGGTATACATGTGACAAGATGGGCGGACCCTAGATTCATGATGGCAGCCTAACCTTGGTCATCCTTGGGTGGGTTTAACCTCTCTGGTGTCTCCTACAAGGAAACAGACAACTACTATCCTTATCAGAAGGGAGTGGGCCCTACTTGTTGTGGGATAAACAGTGGTGTCTGCTTGGTCTAGATGGCTGATAGCTCTTAGGGAGAATGACCCCTAATCTACTCCTGATGACCTCCAAGTGTATAGTCATTCTCAAGCAGCTAAGTCTGGCATATATTTGGGGGAGACACCTTGAAAGAAATCCGCTTCTGTTTCTACACTCAGCACAGGGATTTCCAGTCCAAATGATGGACTCTGCTCCTGACTCGTAATTTAAAGTCTCAAGAGAGATGGACTCAAGACAAACCCTAATCCTGTAGATCCCATCCTGCCTCATCACATAGTTGCCTCTAATCCTGTTTCATTGACATCAGAGAGGTGAGGATTTACAGCAGCGGTTCTCAACCTTGCTAATGCCTTCACCCTTTAATACAGTTCCTCATGTTGTGGTGACCCCCAACCTTTGGAAATATGTGTTTTCCCATGGTCTTAGGCAACCCCTGTGAAAGAGTCATTTGACCCCCAAAGGGGTTGCGACCCATAGGTTGAGAACAGCTGATTTAGATCATAGAGAGTAATAGCATTGGATCACAAAACAGAGGGTAATGAATTACATTGTACTGAGACTCACGTCCAGAAATTTGACACATATTTTGGGAGAACACAGTTCCATCCATATCAACCATGACTGACAGAAGAACAAGCAGGTCTGTCTTTGAAGAAGGACAGCCAGAATGCTCCTTAAAAGGGAGCATCATCTCACGTCCTGTGGCCATGTTGTCAGGAGGGACTGGTCCCTGCAAAAGGACATCATGCTTGCTAAAGTGGAGGGTGAGTGGAAAATATGGCCCTCAAGGGATGGATGGACACAGGGATTGCAGTGATGGGCAATAACGCGGTCTAAGCGGGTGCAGGACGGCATTCTGACGTACGTGGTGTGCTATGAATTGGGACTAGCTCGATGGCACTAACATCACAGCAACATAGGGTCACAAAACCTCACGAGAATGACACGTCTGCTTTGGGACTGCAGTGGCAGAGTTGAATAGTTAAGATAGGAACCATGCAGTCTGCAAAGCCTAAGTGTTTACTCTTTGGCCCTTTACAAAAAAAACAAAATTAACCTTTAAATGTTTAGATCAACAAGGTTGCTTCTCTATTAGCAGTTGTCGTCGTTGGATATTGGCGGCGTGGTCTAAATGGCCACACAGAGCTCTGCATCCCAGGAAGAACTAGCAGCTCTTGGCAGATGTCCGGTGTGTCTGTTTCAGGTCTCTGCCTCTCAGGGTCTCAGTCTCACTGTTGATAAAGTGAGAGCTTTGAGCTAGAGAATCTCTAAAAGTCCCTTTCAACAACGTTTGGTCATTCTTGTTACATAATGTTATGGATTGATTGTGTCCCCCCTCGGGCCCCCACCCCACCCTAATATATGAAACCTGACCTTCATGCTTATGGTTATAATCCTCTTTGGAAATAGGGTCTTGGTTTTATTAATGGAAATGTATCACTATAGGTCCTGTTTTATCCAGTCACTGGGTGGTAGAACGAGCAGTGTAGGCAGAAGCAGGCAAGCGCAAGTTGTGGTGGTGCGTGCGTGCGGGGAGATCACCAAGGACCCAAGGAATGGAGAAGGGGCCTAGAGGAGCTGAGACAAGGATTCCTCCAGAGCCAAAGGAGAAAACCTTCCATAGAATCGGGGCCTAAAATGCAGGCTTTCAGCTCCTAAGACCAGTTTCTCCGAGAAGGTAAACATCTGCTTGTTGTAGGAGCGCTAAGGAACTCGGACACATGAGAGCCTTCTAGTTTTCAATAAGGAATCCAGGCCAAATACCTCCAGCCCCGGCCCTCTTGATGAAGGGTCCTTTCCCTCTTGCTGTTTGGCGGCCGCCTTGTGTATATATAGAAAATAAAGCATAACCAATGCCTAGGTGATGGAGGAGAGAAAGCTGATAGTCTATTTATTTATTTATTTAAATAATTAAATCATTTTATTGGAGCCTCGTACAACGCTTATCACAATCCACACATACATCCATTGTGTCAATCACTTTTGTACATTTGTTTCCCTCGTCATTCTCAAAACATTTGCTTTCTGCTTGAGCCCTTGGTATCAGCTCCTCATTTTCCCCCTCCTTCCCCATGCCCCCCTCCCTCAGAAACGCTTGATAATTTATGAATTGTTATTATTTTGTCATATCTTACACTGTCTGACATCTCCCTTCACCCACTTTTCTTTTGTCCACCCCCCAGGGAGGAGGCCATATGTAGATCTTTATTGAGTTAGCCATTCTACTGGTACATAGCAAAAACAAACACCACTAAGATAAGGTTTTGCCCTTAAAGAAATACAAAATACAGAGTCCTGGTGACCCCGTGGTAAGGTAAGCTCTCAGCTGCTGGTTGAAAGGCTGGTGGATCATCCCCATCCAGCCACTCTGCAGGAGAAAGGCCCGGTGGTCCGCCTCTGTAAATTACATTCTAGGAAATCCTATGGTAGGTTTTTGTCAGGTAGTGTGATTTAAAGGGAGCTCTGGTGGTGTCATGGTTATGCATTGGGTTATCATCTAAAAGGTCAGCAGTTCTAAACCACCAGCCACTCTAAAGGAGAAAGATGAGACTTTCTACTCCTGTAAAGTATTGTGTTGGAAACCTCAGGGACAGCTCAACCCTGTTTAGTAAGGTCGCCTTTAGTCAGAATCGACTCAGTGGCAGTGATTTTAGTTTGGTTTGGTAATGGGGTTTAATAGTCGAAGTCTGCTCTGTGGCACTCAGCGACGGCAGTACAGAGAATATTGTGCAGTTATCCCCTTATATAATATAAGCTACCTGCATATTAATGAAGGAGTAATTTTTGAATGATCAGTATTTATCTGGTCACGGTAAAAACCATCTTCTATACTAACATGAACAATTGGATAAGTAAGTTGGGGACATAATTATGTTTTAAACATAATGTCGTTTACTTATTATTTAACTAACTTTGCTTTTTGGTTTTTTTTTCTCCTGGGTCCCTCTGACAGCGTGTACTGGCCATTGTTTGTCTTGATATTTCACGCCATCTCGCCCATCCCCCACTTCATTGCCAAAAGAGCCACATATGACTCTGATGCCACCAGCAGTGCTTGTCGGGAACTCGCCTATTTCTTCACCACTGGAATCGTTGTGTCGGCCTTTGGGTTTCCTGTTATTCTCGCTCGTGTGGCTGTGGTAAGTTTTGCTTTCTATTGTTTGGCCAGATTATGACTGGATTGACTTCAGACACCTGTGTCTGGGACCTCAGTTTCATTTCAAACCAGACACCTTTTTAGTTTCTCTCCCTTGCAGATCTTATCTGTCCTGACCTTGACCATGTTTTCAGGATGTTTTGTTCATTTCTTTGACCGTCCTTAGGTAGACCTTCCTCCTTCTTGTGTTTTCTACTTTAAGCTGTTCTCTGGAATTATTGTTCTATCCCAGCCTCCTAAATATTAGGTCAACCCATAGAGACTACAACAGTAATAGATTTCTAGTTTCAAAGTGAAGATCGTATCAAATTCTTTGCCTGCAAATAGAATCAGATACTTAATTCTCAACTCAATAACTGGCATATATTGAGGGACAACTATTTAGATACGTATAGTGAACAAGAGGAACCTGGTGGCCAAGCCTTGAGGACGATAACCCTGCTCAGAGCAGCCAATGCACAGAGAGGAGGACCATATGGCCGGCCCCACTACAAGACACGACATCCCTCACTGACCCATGGCCATATGGGGGATAACACTGGAGACGTGTGGGAATTGTACCTGATCTGACCCCAGTAAACTGAGGCAAAACACTAAAGGCTTGCAACAGAACAAGGGGAGCAGATCAAGGAAGTCCCAAGAGAATACCAAAAATAGACTTTGGGGCCAGGGTGTGGCATCCCATCAGAGACCAGAAAACACTCCTAAAGGTCAACAAATAGACATTGAACTATTTACAGGCTTTTCTCTTTTTTTGTCATTGTTTTTGTTGTTGTTTTGTTTTCTTTCATTGCTTTGTTTTGCTCTGCCTTGTTTTTGTGTATATCATCTCTGCAGGTCTATCTAAATAAGATAGGCAGGATAAACAATCTGGAGAAGAAAGCAACGGGACTGATGGTTCTAGGAGGACATGGGAGAGGGAGAGGCAGGGGAAAGGAAGTGGGTGTTAACAAAACCAGGGACAAGGGAACAACAAGTGCTCCAAAATCTGTGGCAAGGAGGGTCTAGGAGGTCTGGTAGGGCTGGATCAAGGGCAATGTAACTGAGAGGAATTATTGAAACCCAAATGAAGGCTGAGCATGATAGTGGGACAAGCGGAAAGTAAAAGGAAATAGGGGAAAGAATGAGGAGGCAAAGGGTATTTGTAGCGGTCTAAATACAGGCATGCACATATGTAAATATATTTATATATGAGGATGGGGAAATAGATCTATATGCATACACCTGGACATCGGGCCTCCACTCAAGTACTCCCTCAATGCAAGAATACTTTGTTCTATTAAACTGGCTTTCCATGATGCTCACCTTCCCGACATGATTGCTGAAGACAAAATGGGTGCATAAGCAAATGTGGTGAAGAAAGCTGATGCTGTCTGGCTATCAAAAGATAAAGGGTCTGGGGTCTTAAAGGCTTGAAGGTAAACAAGCAGTCATCTAGCTCAGAAGCAACAAAGCCCACATGTAAGAAGCACAGCAGCTTGTGTGATTCCAAGGTATGGATGGGATGAGGTATCAGGCATCAATGAACAAAAAATCATATCATTGTGAATGAGGGGGAGTGTGGAGTGGGGACCCAAAACCCATCTGTAGACAACTGTACATCCTTTTACAGAAGGGTTGCGGGGAGTAGAGGAACCAGTTCGGGTGCAGTGTAGTAACGATGAAACATACAACTTTCCTCTAGTTCTTTAGTGCTCCCCCCCTCTCCGCCCCCCGCTCAGCTATCATGAACCCAATTCTACCTTACAAATCTGGCTAGACCAGAGAATGTACACTGGTACAGATAGGAACTGGAAACACAGGGAATCCAGGACACATGAACCCCTCAGGACCAGTGTTAAGAGTGGTGATACCAGGAAGGTGGAGGGAAGGTGGGGTAGAAAGGGGAGACCAATCACAAGGATCTACATATAACCCCCTCCATGGGGGATGGACACCAGAAAAGTGGGTGAAGGGAGACGTTGGACAGTATAAGACATGACAAAATAATAATTATTTATAAATTAACAAGGGTTTGTGGGGGGTAGGGGGGAGGGGAAAAATGAGCTGATACCAAGGGCTCAAGCAGAAAGCAAATGTTTTGAGAATGGTGAAGGCAACAAATGTACAAATGTGCTTGACACAATAGATGTATATATGGATTGTGGTAAGAGTTGTACGAGCCCCCAGTAAACTGATTTTTTTTTTTTAAAGAAGAACCCTGGTGGCATAGTGGTTACCCTTTGGGCTGTGATCTGCAAGGTTGGCATTTTGAAACCATCAGAGGCTCCATGGGAGAAAGACTGGGCTTTCTACCCCTGTACAGAGTTACAGTCCCAGAAACTCACAGTTCTACCCTAGCCTATAGAATTGCTATGGATCGGCATTGACTCAGTGGCAGTGAGTGAGTGCTAGTGAATAAGATGACATCCTTTTTAGATTTAATGTAGAAGTTTTTGTCCCCAAAAAGCACATTGTGGGTATAGCTTATTCAGTTCTATGATGTTTTATGATGCCTGCAGTTTATATTCTTATCTTTTCTTCCCCTCTGCCCTACATTCTGCTTTGGGGTTATTAAATAAGGAAATTTGCACAAACCTCACTTAAATGCATTTAATAAATATCTTTGGATCACCCTGTTTGGACAATCCCAAGAAGAAGAGCACAGGAATGGGCATAATAAGTGTGTATACTCTACATTCACCGTTGTATGGTAATTGAAATACGACCAGAGCATCATAGGAGCACTGAGAGGAGAGAAATTAGAGTTTTGACAAATATAAGGAGAACTGGTTTAAGTGATAGTGTTGTGCCCAGACGAGAACAAGTAACGCACATGCAACTTTAAAGTTGATAAGCCTTTATTAGCTGGTGATCAGGGGGTGGCTAGAACCTAATTCTCTATCGACACTGAGTGCTTAAAGGAGGGGAGATTTTATGCTGTGGAATAAACAAGGCACAAGGGCAGGTGGCCTCATGCTATATGAAAAAAAGGAACATATTAAAAAAAAAGGGTTACAGGCAACATCAGCAATTTCAAAAATAATGCAGTGGATCCGCAGTTAACAGAAGTTACAAAAGGAATTACACGTGGGTCAATACAAAATGGCTACATGTAGGCTCATTTATACAGTATGGTTACATTGTTAAAATGGCTACAGTCTGCTTACATTGGTGTTAATTGTGGGGGTTACTATAATAGCTTCAAGTGTGAAAATGCAATTTGTAGAATAGAGTAATCCAGCATATTATGCTGATAGTGGTAGAATCATTCTCGGAAAGAGATTAAGAATGGTCACACAAATTGATTGTAGTTAATGTCATTGAATTCTACATGTGGCCTTCACTGATTCGGTGTGTGTTTTGCTGTGTGTATTGCCACCAGACGAGCAGTCCAGTATGATGGAGCTAAAGGGAAGTCCTTGTGATTGTGGCTAGAAAGGTGGGTAAAGCCTGATTAGGAATGGTTTTTAACACCATGTCAATTTGAACTTGATTTAGACAGTGGAGCAGCATTATGTTCTTGATTCAAATATTGTCATGACCTTGTTCTTCCTGGGCTTTCCACGGCATACACTTAGTGTTGCTGTCAATATACTGTTTTTGTTTTTCAAAACTGCATCATGTTTCATGAAGCAAGTTTCATTGGTGTGCTTTTGCTTCAGCAGAGACAAAGAGACAAGGCTCGCTAGAGGGTGCTCTCACACCCCAACTGTGCCTCCGTAAAATCAGCCAGGCTTGACGTCTGCTTTGATTTATACTCAGATTATTTATCTAGTCTTTTGTCACGTAGAAAAGAAACAAACAAACCCATAGCTCTTCCATCCTATGTACCACAGAGGGAGGCAACTCGTGCAGAACTTTCAGTACCCAATATTGTAATTGGACCATTCATAATCTGACTCCTAGTATTTTACTTATGGCAGTTATTATCCACTGAAAACAAGGAGAGAAATATGTCTAATGGGGGACATGTTAAGGATGCTACTAGACTTAATAGCCATCGTGGAAATAATTAGACTAATTACTGACGAGTTTTGTGTCTCCCACCTATTACTTACATGAAGCCTTTTAGCAGATTTGTGTAATATTTCATGGAGTGTTCCTAATTCAGTAAACAACAGATTTGCAAGTAATGTTGCATGACGAGAATATAGAGTTAATGAAGCCTTCTTTTCTTTCTGTTTCAGATCAAGTGGGGAGCTTGTGGCCTGGTGCTGGCTGGCAATGCAGTCATCTTCCTCACGATTCAAGGCTTTTTCCTTGTCTTTGGAAGAGGAGATGATTTCAGCTGGGAGCAGTGGTAGTGCTTGGTTCTAATACTATGCATTGAATTTCTACATGTTTATGTGGACACACATGGCATTTTACTATGAAATTTAATATGCTGTTTTTTATACCTTTATATCATGTTCACTTTAAAGATAACTAAATGTGTGAAACATTAGCCTCATTCCCAGCAAATAACCCAATGCCATCAAGTCGCTTCCCGCTCATAGTGGCTCTAGAGGAGACAGTAGACTACCCCATAGGATTGCCAAGACTGTAATCGTGAGGAAATCAGACTGCCACATCTTTTCTTCCACAGAGCAGCTTGTGGTTTGAACTGCTGACCTTGTGGATTAGCAGCTAAACACTTAACCACTGGGCCACCAGGGCTCCTTCCCAGCAACAAACCTCTCCACTTAAATTGAATGATGTTACTGCATTTTTTCATAAGTAACAGGCCTAGGTAAATGATCCACACATACATTGTACGGCACAGCACACTTTTAAAAATAGCGTGCACAGAAATATGTAAACGTGGTTTGGTGACCTGCTACATCTACATCTTTTGCCTGGGCTATACTTGTGTCAGCACACAATACTGGGGCAAGTCTCAGTTCTACTTAGCATTGCTAAGATAGTGTCAGTGGCCCTCTGTCTGCTGTACACTTCTCAAAAGTGCTCTCCTTGTACCAAGTGCAGAGGCATCTCCTTGACCTTCATGGAAATGCAGAATCTGAGGCCCCACCCCAAACCATTGCAGTTGGGGGCCACCCCAGGGAAATCCTGTGCATGTCGATGTGTAGTTGGCCTGAAATGTAAACACTAACTAAAAGGTTGGCAGTGGGAACCTTCCCCGAGATGCCTTGGGAAGAAGTGCCTGATGATTCTTTGAACGGTCACAGCCACTGGAAGCTCTGTGCGGGCCAGTTCTCTGATTCTACAGGGTCACCGCGAGCCCAGGGGACCTGATGCCAACGGGTTTGGACTCTTGATAGCAGAGAGGACCTTACTCTTTGGGATTTTCCAGGTGTTCAGACTTATGGCATCTGTCCTGTTCTTTCTCGTTGGGGAAAGAGGTTCTAAGTAAGGCAGGAGCAGCGGTTTCCACCGTGTGTAGGGGAGGTCAGGGTCAGGGGGTAACAGTGGGGTGCAGGGAAGAAAGAGGCACTGGATGAAAGAGAATAGCTAAGTGATATTTTGTAATTTCCCATTGTGATCAGGCCTGTGCTTTCTCCGTGTTCCACTCCCCCCCATTCCCACCAGTTGTGAGGTGCTCTGATTTGTTCTGGCTTCCTCATTGTCTGAGCCCATGGGGCCAAGTAAGCAAGGAGGGAGGGTGTCCTGCTTCACTCTGTCTACACGATGACTTGCACATTGTGTTTCATGTACTAAAGGACTTTATAGTTTTTACTAATTTCTGCCGCCTTTAGTGGGATCTTTGAAAATCCCTTTTCTGCTGGACACTATAATCCCAGTTTTTCTAGCTCAACTAACTCTTTGTCCAAGACTTACTGAGATAAGGAAATATGGGAGATAGAACCACGTAATCAGAATGACCAGTGATTTCTAATCATTGTTAATGTATAACTGACATACTTGCAAAACACTTCAACCTGGGAGTGTGCAATCTGCTCACTGCTTCCTATTCTGTTCACGCTGCGGGGACAAGGAGAAGGTGACTGCAATGTCTAAAAAGATAATATGTAAACAGATTTCTTTGTTCTCATGCATGATTGTATGATTTTAGTGTTCTATGTATATATAGATGTATCCATGTTATTTCCAATATTTATATTAGAAAAATTATTTCGATACTCTATGATTTCAACCCATCCATCGTTTTTAATAACAACACTGACACTTACTGTAATGTAATAAATTTCACTTTTAACACAGATGAGAGGTTTACTGTTAAAGTCTTTATTCTGACATATTCTTGCTTAAAAAAATAACTCGAGAATTTCTTGGTATTTTGAAATGGGCAGTTTTGCGGCAATAATCTGTCCTGCAATAGCAAAATAGCAATAATTTTTAAGCTGAATGTTGAATGGCTGAGTTGACTTGTCATAGCTATTTCTTGCCCTAAGATGGCACTAGTGATTAATGTCTATTACCTTTTGTGGACGAGTCCTTGGTGCATATTTCAGATAACCACGGTAGCCTTAATATGTAGCCTTGAAGCATTACCTCTTGTATTTGAAGGATGACATGAAATCTTGGTATAACGAATATTTGTAGCTATTCCTAGTAATGGAATTGCTTATTGAAGGGATGGATTATGAGATTTGTTGTGTGTCTAGAAGGGATGTTTATCCGACAGTGCCTCGGTGTCATTAGGAATACATAGCAGTAGGAGGTATTACTCCCTGCTGCATTTCAGTGCACAGTGCGCAGCTTTCGTCCTGCTGACCCAAACGTTGGCCTTTCTTTTTTAAAGGCTCATTTTGGTGATGTATCTTAGAATATAGTTTGCAGATTCAAAGCATATTTGTTTCATTCAAAACTTAAAGAATGGACATAGTAGGTTTTACACACATGAATAACCACCACTTTAGGAAGCTATTAATTATCATGCTTTCAGACAACTGCCTTAACAGGCAGATTTTGAAATCCTTTTTCCCCAGAAACAACTATGAATGAATTGGTGATTGTGTTCCCAGGTTAAGCCCTTATATAGCTGACCTGCACTATTCGAAAAGAAGCCTGATAGCATGGTGAGCTAAGCATTGAGCTGCTAACAACAAGGTCAGGGGTTCAAACCCACCAGCCACTCCTCGGGAGGAGAAGGCTGTGTGCCCCCAAAAGAATATACTCTTATCGGAAACCATATTGAATAGTCCTACTCTGTACTATGGGTTGCACTGAGTAGGGACAAACTGAATGACAGTACGTATACTAGTCAAAATACCTGCCTGAGTTTGGGGTCTTGGACACTGGGTCGTATGAACAGTTTGAAGAGCTAAGGAAACAAGTGTCCACATCGTTTCTGAAGAACAAGGTCTCTGTCTCTTTTTCACTTCAGATTTTGTACCCTTTCCCACTTTCTGAGGCACCCTGATGGCACAATGATTAAAGTACTCAACTGCTACCCAAGACTCCTCAGCTGCTGTGCAGGAGAACGGTGTGACCACATCATGTAAAGATTTACAACCGTGGAGCCACACTGGGCAGATCTCTTCTGTTCTCTAGGGTAACACTGAATCCGAGTCAGCTCCACAGCAGTGGGTTGGGTTTGGGTCTGCTTTCTAAGGAGTCCCCTAGTGGAACAGTTAGCCAGGTGGCTGCTAATCAAGAGGTTTGGTGGTCAAGTCCACCCAGAAGCACCTCAGAAGAGAGTCCTGGCAATCTGTTTCCAAAATAATCAGCCATTGATAACGTCCTAGAGTAGAGTTCTGAGCTGACACCCGCGAGGATGCCATGTCTGTATCGACTAAGTGGCATTGGAGCTCAACTTCCTAATGTGTCTTTGGAGCATAGGGCCACTCCTGCACCTTTCCAGATTCGCTCTGGCCAGCCGAGGCCGCCCTGCTAGCCTAGCTCATGGACGGAAATGCATATTCTAGAATTCCAATTTTTCTACTCCCACCAGTTTTTCTTAGAACAGCTGGTATCGGAGGGAAAGGGGGTGTAGAAAGCGGGAATTGATCACAGGGAGCTACATATAACCTCCTCTCTGGGGGATGGGCAGCAGAGGGGTGGGTGAAGGGAGATGCTGGGCAGTGTAATATAAGATACAATAATAATTTATAAATTATCAAGGGTGCATGGGGGAGAGGGGAGGAGGAAGGGAGGGGGAGGGGGAAAAAAGGAAAATGAGCTGATCCCGGGAACCCAAGAGGAAAGTGAATTTTGGGAATAATGAGGCAACAAATGTATAGATGTGCTTTACACAATTGATCTACGTATCGTGATGCATTGTAGGAGCCCCAATAAATTGATTTAAAAAAAGAACAGCTGGTATCATCTGATGCTAAGAAGGAAGTCATCTGATTAAACTTCCTCAAAGAGAATGACACCATCTTACCGAGTGAGGTAGTTATTGCGCCAACCTGGCCGACAAACACATGTGCGGTTAATGGAAGGGTGGAGGGACAAATGGCTCAGTGAGCCTCACCTTTCTAGTTCTCAGATCTCTTGCTTTCTGATGGTCGGACCAGGGTGCACCTGCCTTAGCCAGTTCCCTACTTCAGCTTGCAAGGCTGACTTCCTGCAAGACATCCTCAAGGAGAAGCCACATGGAGCTACCCCAATGCAGCGCTGGATGCTGAAGCAGCCGTGTGGAGACTCCTGCCAGCGCTGAGATGCTTACACATTCACTAACTCGGCTTTCCTCCTGCAGTCAGCATCATTGTGTGTGTTTTGTGAGATGGAGGAGGACTTTGTGGATTGGTGTTGAACTAATGGGTTAATGTTGAACTTGTGGGCTTGGGCAGCACTGGGTTGGGATGTTTTCTTGATGCACACTTAACCTTTATATACAACTCTCTTATACATGAGTTTCTATGGATTTGTTTCTCTAATGTACCCAGTCTAGCACAGCAAGTCTGAAATTGGATCAGCAGCAGCGTGCAATTTACGTACAGAGCTACAGCTGCATTTTTATGACAGTGCCCTGACTGATTCACAGAAAAACGGCAGTGTTTGAAAGTAAAGTGAAGACCAGCTCATTCGTATGTTGGAGGATGTTAATATTTGGGGATCATATCGCTCCCTCAGGGTAAATTCAAAGTGACCCTGCCTTTGCACGGTGGTTTCTTTTCTTCCATTCGTAGACTGAGTGTCTTCAGGGCATCTTTACCTCTGAGATATCTCTGTGATGAAGACCCTTCCACCGACCAGAATGTCTCATGATGTGAGTCACTTTCATTTTGTCCTCAGGAATGCTCAGGAGATGGCACAATGTACCTTTTCAAAGATGACAGACTTCCAATTTTGTACCATAATGTAGCCAACATGTTTCTGAGGATGCTAGTCTTTTCTGAGCATTGTTCACAAGTGGGAAATATTTCCATAGCTGACTATAAATTGTGCATTTTAATTCTCTTTCCCAATCTGCCTCATAAAGGAGATTATTTGAAAAAAAAATCCTAGTACATCTATGGTTCATAACTCAAGGTTTATAGTCTCTGTAGCCCTGGTGGCAGAATGAGTTACACGTGAGCTGCAAACCACAAGATTAGTCGTTTGAAACCACCAGCTCTGAAGGAGAGGGGTGAGGCTTTCTGTTCCCATAGGGTTACAGTTTCTGAGACTACAATTCTACCCTGTCCTATAAGTTTGCTGAGAGTCAGATTGGCTTGATGGCAGTGAGAGAGAGAGAGAGAGAGAGAGAGAGTGTGTGTGTGTGTGTGTGTGTGTGTGTAGGAGGGGGCTTCCAAAAGCTTGTGGAAATGATATTAAAAGACAATGGAATTTTTTCCGTAAGTTTTTTGGAGCCCCGTGGCATATACTACTCCCACTGGAGTAGAGCAATGATGATATGTATAACCCTAAATATGAAGTTGGAAGGCCCCCGAGGTAGCTTTAGAATGCATTGCACAGGTAGTCCCCAGGTTACGAATGTTGAACTTTTTGTACAACCTGGAGTGATGAGCCACAGGTTTGTAAACCCTATAAAAACCAAAGGTACATACAATCATCTGTTTGTATCTGATGATTCCTCAACCTCAGGTACAAATATTTGGCGGTGAAGGAGAACTAGTCGTCAAAGCAGCCCTCAAAAGCTAATGGAGCGGAGCCTAAGTATTATTTACATGATTTTTATTAAGTATTTTAAGTAATCTAGAGGTGATTAAATTGTAAGAGTGTTCTGAGGTTACATGCAACTATTGTGCCATTTTATATAAGGAACTTGAGAATCCCAGGACTTTTGTATCCGTGGGGGGTCCTGGAACCAGCCCCCTTCCCTCCCTCAGATCCTGAGAAAGGACAGAAGTGGTTCAGAATGACAATCTGGAACTCCTTTGTGATGTCCATCAAAGCATTATTATGTTAAAGACTTAGGTTAAATTATGTTAAATACATTGTTAGTGTTTTAGTGTGTTAAAACTGGTTTCGTGTATCTGGAAATGCTTCTTTAATGTGGTTGCTTTACATGGAAAAGTGCACTATATGCTATATACTAAGACAAACATTTTTTGAGTAAGTGATGTTAGATATGAACCATTCCTTAACTGTTCTGACTTATGTACAAATCAATATAAAAACAGATTTAGGAATGGAACTCGTCTGTAATCTGGTGACAGCCTGTGCATGTATGGTGAATTCTGTAATAAAATTTGTCATTTACACGTGAACAAAGGTTTTAATGTATATTTTTAAACTTTGAAAATGTTTATGTTTTACCCTGGATGCATTATATTTGTAAGGAACATCTGCAGATTCATTTCCCTTGTGTTTTTATGTGAATAATGCCATGTTGACTTTACTATTTTTGAAGCTATACTTACTGTAATTGAAGAAAAGCAGTCCAGGGATGTTTTGCTGACTGCCAAGAATCTGGGCCCTTTTTAAAACCCTGTTGTGGCTGGCATTCACCCATGTTTAGGGTGGGATGGTGGGGGAGGTTAATCAAAAATGATGACTTCAAAAAAGGAGGGGAGGAATCTTGACATTGTTTCAAGGTGCTATCCATGTTCTAGGAGCCCCGGGGGTGTAGTGGTTATGCATTGTGCTGGGAACCCCATGGTGGGCAATTTGAAACCACCAGCAGCTCCTAGGGAGCAAGACTGGGCTTTCTTCTCCTGGAAACAGTCTTGGAAACCCACAGGGCCTGGTATGAGTCAGCATTGAGTTTGGTTTTTGGTTATACATATTCTGAAAAGTCTTGTACGCTCCAGAAAAGAATGTACTCAAGTGAAATACGACTTCATCCATATATTGTTTGTCTTTGGTTTG